TCGGGGATCCAATGGTACCTATTAATTCGTACTACGTTCTACATAAGGTTGTACACACGCACTACGATCCGGTTTCGTTATCAAAGCAACGTAATGACGATTATCTGATCGAATAGGTGAAATCGAATCCGCGTGAAATATTCTAATACGCACCTGTGTACTACAATATTTTCCTTTCTTCAAGCTTAAACGTTTTGTCCGTCGATTACCGCGATTATGCGATACGCGAGTGCGTGTTCGCAAGCAGGCCGCCGAGTGCACTTTCAAACTTAATGGCTCGATTTGTATTCACAACGAGGGGATGAATTTTTCATGGGCAACGCGAGGGGACGTGCGACGCTTTGACCCAACTTCAAAATGACGCATGGTTGCGTCAAGGTCCACGTCTCTCTCTCTCTCTCTCTCTCTCTCTCTTGGAATGTCTAATCGCATTCGATCGAAAACCAGAGAAGAAGAACACAGTCATCGTGATCGGGATCTCTCCTTGGATGCCATTTCACGATTAACGCAAATTAAAATGATGTTGCTTGATAAAACACGCGAATAAACGTTAACTCTAGGATATTAGAAACAAATAATGCTGGCGTTTGTTCCTATTTTTTCCGGATATCGAGTGCAACGAACCGTCCGCAACGCGCTCTCGTTCGATTGATCAATCAAAGAAAAAAAAAAATTCAAAAGAAAGAGGGAGAGAGAGAGAGAGAGAGAGAGAGAGAGAGAGAGTCTTTCCGTATTGTCACCCTTTCGCCTCTGAATCTTCTCGTCTTTCTCTACCTTCTTTACTCCATTATTCTTCTTAAAAGGTATATCCGAGAGGAAGCTACGTAATATTGTCTTATCGATTTACTTATTTTTAGACACTGCTCGAACCTCCCAGACCCTTAGGCTTTGCTCTCTCTCTCTCTCTCTCTCTCTCTCTCTCTCTCTCCCTCCCTCCCTTGAACTCGGAAGAAAAGTAAGAAAGCCGGAGCGCCAAGCGTTTACCACGGACTTCCGACCTACTTCTCGCACTTTTTCTCTCCTTTTCGCTCCATTCGCCATTCCTCATCAATTTTTTTTTCTCCGCCAAAATCAACGGTTAACGATTCCTCCTCCGCAAAGAGTTCGCGCAACTACAAGCGTTCATTTTAGCGAGAGAAAGTGGCGAAAAAAGAAAAGACTTTGGTTTATCTGCTTAGGATATCTATTAGGGGGACCTAATTGGACGAGCTTTAATTACCTACGGTTCTCCATTATTCTATCTCTATCTCCGATATTCTACTATAAAGGGAGGATCGGGTTTAGTAGGAATTTCCATATTATCTCACTTTTTTCGGACACTGGTAAAAGTAAAGAGCTTGCGATTAATAAAGTGGTCTGGGTAGAAAATTTGATGTGCAAAGAATGATCGACTATGACAGGTCGATCCTTTTTTTTCTTTTTTCTTTTTTTTTTTTGTTGGATAAAAGACGCGAGAGCGAGATGGGAAAATGGAAGTGATAAAAGCTCTCGGAGGAAGATCTAGCGATGCGTCGATAAATCCAAGTTCTTGGAAAAGGACGACGAGACGAAAGCGTTTCGAGATTGCATCGAAACTTTTTCCTTTACTTTCGTCCTTCTTTCTTCGAGTTTTCTTCCAATTTCGGAACGATTTATCGGCTGATATTGGGAAAGGAAATAACGAAGAGTCTCGTGATTTTTGGGCCGAAGCAACTTGACAAAAGAGAGAGAGAGAGAGAGAGAGATTGCCAACCTTTGACTTTTTTTCATTTATGCGCGAAACATTATTAGCGTAAACTCGAACGAACGTGACACCGATAGCCGATAACGATTAATCGAACTTTACAATCACAGAGAGCCCCTACCTGATACGCACACAATGCGGGCACGTTATGGAACGAACGTGATCGCCAATTCGAGATAGACTTTTTCACAGGGTGAAAACAAAATACAAGCTTCGCGAGCCTACTACTTCATTGTAGGGATGTTTACGAAACAACAACCCTTTGCGCGAGTTTGGCTCAAGATTGAAATCAATTTCCGGCTTTTGTAAACGATCCTCCCCGTCTTACAAACATCAAGTAATTGTTAGAGTGCATTCGAAGGCAGGGACACGTGGAATTGAAAACTTTCACATTTTGTTTTTGCCGAAAAATCGATCGAGAGAGAGAGAGAGAGAGAGAGAGAGAGCGCTTTAAGCTGGTAGACTTCTTTTATCTTTCGAATCGAGGAAAATAATTAGAAAATGTGTCTCGCGTCGGTCGACATCGAGCCCCTACTTGCATTATTAATGAGGCTCTTCTTGACTCTTCCTCTTTCCTTTCCATTCCATTCCTTCGTTCCTACCTTCAACCTGTTCGCTCTCATCGCTCTCGAGGTACCGTCGCCCGTGATTCTAATGACACCTTGTCGACATCTTGGAATTTTATTATCCTTAGCACCCACTTCGTTAGGCGCAACCACGCGACCAAACGAAAACCACGAGTTTCGGTGTATCTTTTTGGATATTTGCAAACTTCACTTTTCACCGAGCGAATAAACAACGCTAAATTATAGATTTTTCTTTAATTAGCGGAGTGCAGTAGATTTTTTAACCGAGACCTTAATCCACACGACCGATTTTCAGTTGCTGCCAGGGACATCGTGGGCATTTTGCCAAAACAGAAATCACGATGATGCAGGACCTACCAACCAACCAACCAACCAACCAACCACCACCAAATAGATGAGAACTATTATTTTTCTCTACAAATGTCATACCTAGTTAATGGAATTCTTACTTCGAACCTACGCGATTTTATTCCATCCAATTTTTTATGAAAAATTTAATAGATTTAATTTAAAAGATTTAATAGGCTCTACCGGTAGCAAGAGATAAAAGCTACCGTCCGAAAGGTTATAATGGAAGGCTATGGTTGCCTTGGCAAATTTGTTAATAAAATCATTGAAACATTCATCATTTGTACATTAATTGTTGTTCAATTAATTCGATAGAATAATAATATCCCTGTGATTGTCGTTACAACTGCTTTTGTACTTGCGATTCGTTATAAATTAGCAAAGTACTCGATAACTTTGGAGAATAGAAATGAAGAAAAACGTGGAACGTGTCTCATTATATCGACCTCCTACGGGGATTCCTTTTATTTGCGATGGGAATTTTCCGAAACGCGAAAGTCGAAAGAAAGCCGGAGGAAAGCTGTTTCAGAAAGCCATTATCGCTCGGCACGACGAGCTTTCTTTTCGACGAACCGATATGCGGTTGCCACGATTCCACGACTGTGAAAATCATTATTCTTGAGCGAAATCTGCAAAGTAAAGGAAGACGAGAGGAGAAATAGGAAAAAAATATTTCCCAGTTAAAAAGCCCGTTACCTTTTCAAGCTTTCCCTCTGGAGACTTTTGTTGTTCCACCACATTTTCCTTTTTTTTACTTTACTATTATCTATAACGCGAACAAAAGCGAAGGAAAAGAAAATAATCAAAAAACGAAACAACAGAAAACAAAAACACGGGACAAAGTTACGAAATTCAACGTTACGATTCTAGGGTACGTAGGTACGTAGGTAGACGAGATAGACGAGATAGACGAGATAGACGAGATAGATGAAGCTTTTCAATTGAGTTTCTCATCTACATAATTCGGTATAGCAAATACAAATTGGCAAAGCGAAAGCGAAGAAAATTTGACTGGTACATCGCTGACAGAAGAATCTCATCGTAACCTGAGAAGGACTGCAATCGATATCTATGTAATACTTGCGAGTACTCGAGTTCAGTCCGACGCCTCCGGATATTCCAACGACGAGCTTTTCAATCGACAATTCGCTCCATCTATCTTCCTTTTCACCTCCTTATCCTTAGATACCGGAATGCTCGGACTTTCCAACCAATTGCTGTAGCCCTTCAATGAACTCTGCTGACTAGCCAGAGTTTTGACATCTATGGAACAATGACAACATTTCATTTCGACTAACTGCAATTTCCTATTTATCAAAGTACATTGAAAAAAACTTATAAACATTTAGATCCTGTTCCTGGAGAGATGGATCTTGAAAACGAGATATTCACCAACGGGTTTCAATTTCATTTCTTCGCGAATAGAAAGCGCAAAGCCTTACGCTAGTCGCACGGAATAGACTGTAACTCGATACTTCTCAACCTAACAAAAGATATTTCTCCGTCGCGAGTTCGCAAAGGTAGACAACAAATTTTTCCTCCTCATCTGCTGGCTGCTGGACGATTGTCGATACTTTCGAGTAGGAAAGTTGTAGTAGGATGCATTAGTTTTTCGATAGCTTACTACCTAACATTAGCAAGGATTTAAGGTGATTTCTACGTTATCGATATGGAAACGACGCGTTAAATAGCGAACCAGCCGAGAAAATGAACGGAATGATCATGGACGTTTCAGAGTTGAATGGCATACGCGACACCGCTTATTACCGTTCGTCCCGTGACTTATTACCGGTCACGGTAATAACGGCTACGTCGAATTTATCGGCGCCGTGCGTTAACTCGATACGAATCGGATCGATATATTCCATGTGGAAGCCAGTGGAAGCTTGCCAACCTTCGCCATTGTTACCGAGCATTATGCTTGCGTTTCTTTAATTGAACATTATTAGTGGAATTAAAAAAAAAACACGCGGATCAACGCAATTACTCGAGCAAGCCGAGTAATATCGGCTCCACCAGTGGCGAAAGTAGGCGAATCTTTAAACGAGGTCGCCGTGTATTTTTCTTTTTTTTCCTACAAATGTAACGTCTAATAAAAAGACTAGAATAACGCGCGAGAGGAATGAAAAGGAACGGCAGCGGTGCTCTTGTGGCGAGGTCGCGGACGAAAGCCGGACCTCGGAGACGAAATAAAAACTAAAGTGTAGTACTCGTGAATTCGAACAATACGCTAATGCTCGTTTTAGAATGAACGCTTTCATTACTCTAAAAACGTACATCACCTCTCGCGTTGCTGCCAAATGTCACGATCCTTTAAAATCCTATTTTCTTCTTCTTTTCAGACGTCCACTGGCTGATTTGTTCCTGCGTTCTAATGGCGACGGCGGTCCTTTCCTGCCGGAGAAGCGAATTTCAATGCAACAACGGCCATTGCGTCCCCCTGAACAAGGTTTGCAACGTCGTCGACGACTGCGGAGACGGAAGCGACGAAGTCCGTCAATGTTCGCGTGAGTTATCGATACGCGATATCGACATACCAACCTACCAACCTAGTATGACCAACCTAGCATGGTCTTTTCTTCTTTTCCTCTTTTTTTTGCAAAAAAAAAAAAAAAGAAAGAAAAAAACATTAGGCGAACGTATCGGTTTATGCAAATACCGGAGGACGGCAATGCGAAAGCGTTAATATTCATACGTTCATCGATTTTGCATGCCCGTTCAAGTACCAAGCCATTCTTTCATATTCCATTCGATCCTTAATTTTCAACAGGAATAAAAAGGAACGAGCTGCTCTAGAACGTATCCTAAGCCTATCAGCGAAACTTTCAAACTTTCTTCATTATTTTCGCAAGAACGATCGAACCGAGTAATTACTTTACGAATTAATCCTTCTCCTTAAACGATGTTTACTACCCAACACCTAGATTAGAAGATCAATTATTCTTTTCTATCTTTTCTACATTTCATTCGAATCTTCGAAACAAAATGTACGGAAGCTTTGATTTCGGATATAATCACAATGATAATGATTATTAACGAATATCATTTGTAAAGGTGAATTTTATTACAGAACTGCGCGTTGCCATTTTCCGTTAATGAGAATTCCATTTATGATTTGCGGCATTGTTGAACCGCTATAAATTCCGACCAAACGAAATTCATACAACGCGTCTTCTTTTTATTAATTATTTATTACAAAACCGCAATTGGTATTTAATATAGGCAACTTTCGTATTGCATTTCGATATTCCTTCCTTGTTATAAAACTTTCCCGATCGAAACAATTTGGAGTTTATTAAATATGACCAAGACTGATCTAAGGTATTATAACAACGGGGATTTGCCCTTAAGATTCTGATTCTTAAAATTCTGTACAACCTAGAAAATGAATTTTTCCATTTAATTTATGCATTTGTCATCCGGTTCGTTGTGTAAATGCGATCGAACAAAGCGAATTCGTTCGGTAACATCGTTCTACCATTTACCGTAAATAATTCGAATCTGCAGGCCGTTGTGAAACGAGGTTCCACGCGATTTAACCTCCGCTCGCGGTTTCTGGACGAGCGACGCGACCCGACGCGAAGCGACGCGACGCGACGCGTCCCTCTGGTAATGCACCGACGATGCTACTAATGGGATTGTTGTGCTCGCTTACAAAGTAGAAACGAACGCGTCGTTGCCCAAAACGACATCGAACGAATATTCTCCTTCCCGCTTATTATATCTACGAGCTTAATTGACGAAGAAAAATCAACTACGCAGCAGCCACCCTTAAGACGAATGTAGAGCCATTTTTTGTTGTCCCATTTTCCATCCAAAGCACAAAATCGAGCTATTTGTAAAAGACGATGGACGTTTTCTTTGCTCGAATGGCCTTGTTATCGACAGATCGTGATAAAATGGAGGTCGGTTTGACCGTGCTTTTCTTCGTCCCTTAGTCGTCCCTTAGTCGTCCCTTCGTCATCTCTCCTAGCAAAGCACCTTTTCCTTCCAACGCAGCAAAGCGGTACGTTAAACAATGTCTTCCGGTAACAATGCTCGTACGCTTCGATGCACCGATCTTTCCTATTCCCAACTGAAACTTTGTTCTCGAAATTTAATCTCCCCAATGAACACGATATATACTTTTCCTTTCAAAGTAATAGATCAATTTTAATTAGAAATTATGTAAAAAGTCGTCTATTCGATACACTCGACGACGCTTGGAATTTGTGGAAGGATTTGCCAAAAATTCATGAGTCGTGAGGGAGAGAAGAGAGCAGACTTGGTAAGAAAATAAACTTGCTTCAATATCTGAGGATAGCAGCAGCGTTCCGTCGGCATCGTAGCGATAAAACGTTGCAGCAAATTTAGCGAATGCGTTTGCTGCGGCCGTCGGCAATGTCGTCCTATGCAATTTAATCTACAGGCTTTTGCTAGGATGTTCGTTATGTTACTTATGTGCAACCACTAATTAACTCGCACTATGTTACATTGTCGTAAATTTGGAAGTATTTTGAAAAATGTTTCGCGATTGCGAAATTGTTTGGACGTTGCAACGTGCAAAGATAACGTCACGTTTTCAAATACATCGCCGGGAGAGTTAACCTTTGGATATTGCAGTAAAGTTTATGCGACGCTGCCTGGAATATCCTCGTACCACTCGTACGTCTGTTACATTTTAATCGCTGCGGCAGTTGCTAACTTTCCAACGAATGGTAGACTGGTGCTTCAACGGAGCTCTAACCGTACGATTCGAGAGCTAATGTCTAAACGGTCTATTAAATATTCTGCAAAAAGTTATTACGTAATTTCTTACGTAAGGGTGTATAAAAAAAAAAGGGTGGAATAAAGTACTATAAGAGATGGGATATTTGGCGTTTTCCCTTGGATCATCGACTCGATTAAATCGATCGCTTCCGGCTCAGGGAACATCGGTCAAAAGAACTTGCTCCTACTAGCTTCTGCGAGAAAAGAAAAGGAAAAAAAGGAGAGGACAACAGTTGGTTGGTTTACTAGTTCGTCTTACAACGAATCGATCTTTTCCATATTTAACGAAGCATTTCTTTCGACACCACTTGTATGTAAAAAAAAAAAAACAAAACCCATCGATCGCATTAATAAGTAATCATAGCAATATCAACACACAATTCCTGTATTTCGACGAGTATCGAATGTCTCATAAAATAATACGTATCACTTGTACATAGAGTTATATCCAAGTTTACGTAAGATATATCGTATTACTTTATTCGATAGCGAAACTTAATATGGTCGGTGCTCGCATAGGGACTCTGGCAAATGGAATTTTTCTTCTCTCTTAATAAACACTCTGTTTGATATCTCTTACATTTATACTTATGTTTATTAATAATTCAATTAAACATAACGATAACCTTTCGATAGGAGAATAACTAAATAAAACATATCATTGTGAAATAGAAAAAAAAAAGAAAAGAAAATAGGCAGCAGTACCTTAAAAGATACGAAAATTATTATCGGCCTTCATTTTCAACAGATCGGAGAAATTGAAACCTACGAAAAAAGATGATTATCGATGTACTTCTGTATGCATATTGCACACATAAATATACTTACGAGGTGTCTCTTCTTGCAACGTTTTTTTCTCCTTTTTTTCGCAAACCTCATCAATGGAATCCGCATTTACAGCGAAATCGCCTAAATTTGAAACATTTTCGCAATCGGATATTTGAAAGTTTCTCGAGTTGTCGTCGTACATGAAAGGCTGTATAGATCTCGAAGCGTTTAAGTCTAAAGACGATTAATACAATAAATGAAGTACTGATTTAATCGGTATTCATTGAAAGAGAATAAAAAACTAACGAATACCTTTGATCATCAAAGCTTCGTTTAACGTGAAAGAAGACGCACGACTCGCATTTGTTTCGTAATCAAAATTATTCGAAAAGTTAAAAGTATTTTTACGTTTTATCGAAGGCGTGATACCGTATTGCACTTTCTCGATTTTTGTAACTCGTGGACAGGGAGTAGATTTTTTCGGAGTTTCCAATACTTCCGAATCAATATTTTCGTCATCGTTGTGCATCAATTTCATCCTCTTGGGTTCGCATGTATCGTTCGGGAATCGATTACTTCCACTGTTGTAATTAGCTAAGCATTCTTCTTCTACGCACATTGGCGTCGTATATCGACTATCATTCTTTTCTTCAAAGTTCGTTTGTTTTGCGATCGATCCGGAATTGCTCGAAAAGGATAATGTATTCTTATTGTGAATCTTTTGCAAAGGCGTTGCTACTGCCGTAAACGACTTCTCTGTGGTAATCTTTTTGATCGTTGTTGATCGTTTTTCATCGTTTGTTCCATGGTTTGTCCAATCATTTTTTTTCGACGTACCATCGAGAGTTTCATCTGTTATGCACATCTCTTCCAAAGCGATCGTATTAACCGATATTGAATCTAAAAAACAAACCGAATCATTTTCAAACAAGCCTATTCGTGCGTACATTATAGCAAGTCAAAGACGATACCAGCATCAATATGCGACGATTGTTTTTTAAATTCCCAATCCTTCCAATTGCGCGAATAATTTAACCGTAATCGTGACAAATTGATTTTCGGCGGGGGCATTTCCAATAATTTCATCGCTCGTTTTTTCTTTGCTTCCTCTTCTTGTTTGTCCAAAGATTTTAACTGCGACCATATAAAAATATATATTAGAATAATAAAAAAGTCTCTGTATTATATCGTTAAGAAATGATTTCACGTAAAGACCTCCAATTCGTTCGAATGTTGTTGCTTCTTTAAGCAATCGATTTTGTTCTTCAACTCGACTAATCTTCGCTCCAATTTTTCATTATTTTTCATTGCTTTAACAAATTCTATTATTTTAAATCTCATCCTAATTTCATCGATCCTCTTTTCCATCTCGATTTTCCTTTCCAAATCTTTTATCTTAAATTCGAGAATCATTTTCTCGATGGTAATCTTCTTCAAATGGACTTCTGCCTCGTTACGTTTTTTAGCCAAAGGAAATTCTTCGTATTCGGCCTGTCATCGATATCAAACATGAGAGAAAACAATAAGATCAAGATAGTATGGTTTAAAATAGGAGTAAAGTTACTAACGCGATAAGCTTGCCAAGTTGTCTGATATTCTTGTAGAATGTTTTCGTATCGTTGAATCTCTAGCAACATTAATTTGGAACGATGGTCGACATTCGCTTCGATGAAATCGATCTTTTGCTTAGTTTCTTTCGATTCTTTTCGCAATCTGACAACGAATAAAAAGGTGTAATAAGTAATAATGGTTCATTTATTTTTCAATGACGTACCTTTGAAAAGCAAGGTTCAACATCGATATTACGTCTTCGGCATCTTTTATCTTTATCTTAAGCTCCTTTCTCCTCTCTAACTTCATTAGAACGTTTCTTTTTATCTTCTTTATTTCAGCCTGAGTTTCTGCGAAAAGAAAAAAAACAAGTGTGACAATATTTCACGTCAATTTTAATGCGCGACTTGGACGATAATGTTATCTCCAAAGAAGTCGAATTATTTCTTACTGTCGTATGACTCTTTGTAAGTGCCAATTTCCACGCGCAAACAGGCTTCCAGAATTTCCACGAAGCGTGGATCGTCGTACGGTATTCCTTCGCCCTCCATATTATTTCTAATCTAACCAAAACAATAAGATTATCCTACTAATCTAGTTTATATATCAAAGAACACTTTGTTTAGTTTATTATTACCTTATCGCGTTTATTTCTCGTCGTCATTACATTAGTTATTACTCGCAAAGTAGGAATCAACAAAGCGACGACGACGACGACGACGACGACGAGGGCGAGGATGACAGGTTATCTCGTTAAGCTATTTGCCAAGAAAAAAAAAAAAAAATAAAAATAAATAAGCAACAGGACAAAAATAGAATTTAGTGAAAAAAATTGCAATCTCTTTGGAATGCAGAATACGATACCATAAAATGTTGGATTGAATTTACCCGCTGGCTTTGCGCCTTTGTTCTCGCGTGGTGCAAATAAATGAGAAACGATGCTTCAATCTCAAGTTTTAAAGTACAACTTGAAACACGTAGTATCCAGCTCCCTGCTTCTACCCCCCACCCTTCACCACCCACTATTACTCACTTTCACCGTTTCTTTGCTCCGTCGGTATTTCCAAATCCTCTTTGATTTTCTTCCTATCTTTTTTTTTTTACCGACATTGTTTACGCGCGATAATTATCGATGTATTTGAAATTTCTGTTTTTTTCTTTTTTTCATTTAACAAGAAAGAAAAAAAAAGAAAAGCACACTTTGAACCGTTTATTTCGAATTATTTGGCGAAATATTTCAAAGGTAAAAGGCGATTACGCGATAAGCGTAAATCGATAAAATTCACTTGCCTTTTCTCCAGTTATTTTATCAATTTGACGATACGTATGAAAGAGGAGACACGAGTGTACGACAGCAACTGGCTACAAACGTAATCTTCCTTCAAAACGAGTTTTACAGATAATCTCTTGCGGATGAGCGTAACGTCGTATTATTCGGTGCATTTAAAATCTATGACATTCTTACTAACTAAAGTAAGACTCTTTAGTAGAGATAGAAATAATCATAGTCGAATACAGGTGAAGAAAATTCGTTTCGTTGTAATATTTCATCTTTTTTGTTTTGGACTTTGAAATAATTGTCTTTTTTTTCTTTTTTTTTTTGGTATATCTCGTGACCTAGATACTACGCAACAAGAAACGAAAGAGCGAAAGAGTATAGAAAAAACGTGAAAACGTGGCGAACGAATATCTCGCGAGCATCGTGGAGATCACGTGGGTGAGGATGTAAAAGGTAGAAAAAAGTAAGGGATGCTGAATGAAGAGGAGAAAAGAAAAAGAAAAAGAGAAAGAGAAAGAGAGAGGCCTCTGGGCACTCGTCGGCCCATTGAAAAGGATATTCGCTCGCTTTCACCGAGCATTCTTCGTCAGGCTGTCTACGCACGCGTTGAAAAGCAACCCCGAGAAGAGTCCTCCTCCTTTCCTGTAAATTGCACAAGTCGCGATTGCGCTAAAGCAAACATTACAATTTCCAGTCGTTCCAACTGCAAACAAAAAGTCCTTCCTATCTTTAGTTAACTTGGATCATTGGACCGTATGGCTGCGTGTATTGTTGTACTTATTCGTAATACCCCCTATTATTGTAAACTTATTGAATTGCATCGGAAACAAAATGATTGAAAACTGTACGATAAATCCAACGTAATAATCGCATCCGCGTGCATGAATTATGTGAAGCGGAAAGGAGTCCAAGTTGAAAAGTTTTGCCAGTGTTTTGCGCGACATCGCGTACCTAGCAGTTGTAGAAGAAAAAAAAAATATACTAAATAATGCAGTACTTTTGTCAGTGTATATACGTAGAAAGTGTGTGGAAAGTATGTGGAAAGGGAATCGAATGTAACGTGTAACGCGTCAAATTCATCCCCTTCGTATTTTCCTTTCGCTTTTACGATAAATATGAAAAGCCAACGACCGCGTACTATAAATTCTATAAAACCTTTGGATTAGGAAGAAAACCCGCGTGAATTTACGTTTTTACTTTTTTCCTTTCGCCCATGTTTCTTTCAGGATCCAATGTATACGTCTGCGTGTTATACCTACCTACGTATCTAGATATTAGATATTTTCGAAGAAAAATTGTGAAAGAATGCTCGCGTGTAGGATTGCGTGTAGAATTGCGTGTAGGATTTGGAGGTAAAATGTACTAGCAGAAGAACGAAATTCTTGTCCATTCATTCTCCAATTGGAATTGGATCGAATTAATCGTTCATGTCAGCGACGATAACGCGCAGTTTCCGTTTGCCCATAGGTTTGCCTACACATGGCATATTTCATTTTCTTGCTTTTTTTTTTTTTTGATACTTTTATAGATACCCTTTATAAATAGTCGATTCGCAATACGCGTGTGCATACACCTAGGTAGGTTTTTTTCGGAAATACGACACAAAGCACGATCGATAGATTTAGTCGACGAGCAAGCGACGACTAGGAGCCCGCGGCAAGCAATAAAAATCCTTCGCTCGGACGTTTCTCGTATCCTGTTGTTTCCATGGCGCACAAGCTTTGCGCTTGTGTGAGACAACAGCAAGGAAAGACATGACTTACAACTGTAACGACGATTCTCGAATACTGCATCCGTCGGAATGTATCTTTTCGGAATTTTGCAACTTTCTCTCTCTCTCTCTCTCTCTCTCTCTCTCTCTGGCTTTTGCTTTGCAGATTTGCACGCCCTCGGCGACGCGTCAGAGTAGTATAAACCGCTACGACTTGCAACACAAAAGGACCTATCCTCTCTGAAAACTTCATTGCATAGAATTTCTCTACCGCGAATATGTTATTGAACCTTTTTACACGTTGATTCGTGACAAATTGTCAAAATTGTCAAAATAAGAGAAACGACAACAAAGATCGGATAAATAAATAAAAAGGGGTTATTTTTGAAGAATTTCATCGACCCTTTTGCCATTAGTCAAACTCATGGAAACGCAAACATTCTATCCACGAGCCGATCCATATCTCTCATAATTCAATGAAACGGACATCTTAGATTTATTGGGTATTCGTCGTCGTCGTCGTCGTCGTCGTCGTCGTCTTTCCTTTGAGAAATATTCCCAAGATCCGTAGGAATTTTCAAGATTTATATTGTAGTAAAAGACGCAGTGAAGTGGACGATCGTAAGTAAGTACGTGCTCCGTTGGATCTCGTTCGATTATTATTCGAAGGGATCGAAGGGACGCTCGAATGAAACATCCGGCTAGGTTCGCTAACAACTACCGTTGCTAACGCCTACTTCTAATTAAGAGTTAGAATTAGGTCGTTGATTAGAAATTCCATTGTGCATTCGGTAGGCAGGACGTCGTAGTTCGCTTTCGATGAAGGAAGCCTCGAGGGCTTGGTCACGACTAGCCTGCGAAGCCCTTCAACGAATCGACGCGACTTGACGCGATGCGATATCGCTAACAACTCGGAGCTTGGAATATAGGTACGATGGCCGAAGCCAAAGCAACTCGATCATCGAGAACGAAACGTTTCTCTATTCGTCTGGCATCCTGTGAAAAGCCGAACCACAGATTACATCGATCGAACAAAACGCAAATTCTCTATTAGCTTAATCGTGCTCCATTGCCGATCCGTTTCCGATAACGTATCTATTTGTTCCCAAAGTACGTCCACATCGTCAGACTTGATATAACTAATTAAAAAGTCGACAAACTGCATTTATAGATGGTTACGATATAATATGTATAATGGACGAACACATTGGGATTCTCAAGCACGAACGTATCTAATCTCATAGAGTGGCGGAATAAACTTCTTCGCGCGTTTTCTTCGTTATAAATTCAGTGCGAGAGTGGGTGTATAGGTATATACGAGAGCCACGTACAACTTGGATAGAAAATTCAACCGCGAAATAATGCGATCGAGAGAGAGAGAGAACTTTCAATCTTTTTCAATATCAAATTCTTGTCTTTTTACAGCCTGCAACAAAACGTACTTTGGCGATGTAGGAAAAACCTACAGTTTGGAATTGCATCGACCGAAGGAAGACAAGGTGCCTTACATTTGCAAACTTACCTTTAGCGCACCCGGCGGTGATCTCGGGGATATAATACAGGTGAGGAGAAAAGACATTGATATATGGGAAAATAAATGTAATGCAACAGGAAGAAAGGGAGAAAGCATTTAGAGCACGTAGCGTTAACTAACACGAACAATTTAAGACAAAATACGATAGGACAAAGTTTCACGCTTGTTAAAGCAAGCGTAACAAAGTACCCCAACTATTCGAATGGAGTGTACGCGAGGACGGTGCGCATAGCTCAGGACGTTTGCGTCAGCGAATTCGCTTCATCGATCGAAATTAAACGTTCCACGGACGTGTAACCTAACATCCTCGTTCTCGTCCTCGTCCTCGTCCTACAATAATCTTGTTCTACTGAATTTTGAGGAATTTTTTAATAACGCGTCGAATATCGAGTGTTACATCGATCCGCGGCATGAAGTTAAGTAGTCTTCCTCGTTCCTTTCGCAGCTCAACTTTGACAGCTTTACCCTGGGCAAATTCGTTTCATTCACCGCGGAAGGATGCCCGGACGGATCGTTGCAAATCTCGGAAGCGGAACGTCCCGACGTAGGAGGACTTTGGTGCGGCACGACGAGGGATCCAGCCATTTACTACAGCGAGACGTCTAGCGTTTCTATAACTCTCAAACTTCTCCGACTCAGCAAGGATCAGAAGGCATTTAATTTCGATTTTCGAATGGCGTACAAAATGATCAGAAAATCCGACGCCGTTGTACGCTACGGAAATCCTTTCGTAGGTACGAAACTCATAATATTTTGGCGCATAGATTTTCCAACAAATTGTCCAATGGAATGAAATGAAATAAAATGAAAATACCACGTGGTCAGGAATGACGCAGGTAACGACAACGACGACAACGACGACGACGACGACGACGACGACGACGACGTCGGCAATGATGTCGGCGATGACTACCACGACAACGGGGAGTATAGAAAATAAGCCGACTCCTGAATACGCTAATACTTCCATGGCGATGCTGATGGTCGAACAACACGCAGTGATTCCAACAAAATCGAGCTCGGAGCAGTACCTCGGGGATCTTATCTCTGGCACTTACTGCTCCAGAATATTCAGCGACTGCGACCAAAAGAAGTGCAGACTGCAATCTCCAAACTTTCCTGGTCTTTATCCGCGTAATCTCACCTGTTACTATGCGGTAAGTCTGTCCAAAGCTCGAGTAAGAGAGTAAGCAGGAGAAACGAAAAAGTCGACCTTTTAAATATGTATTCGTATCGAACCGAAACTCTTGTACGTATGTTTTTTGATAAAAAAGACTCGGTTGAACTTTTCAACTCTATTGAATACCGTAAGCACAGCCAATTTGAAGTAATTTAAGAGGAAACGAATGTTTTCCGTATACGTAAATGAAACTAATATAGCACGATAAAAATAGAAAGTTAATCATTTGCATTGGGTTGATTGTAAGGTTTCGATGTCGAGCAGGTAAGGCAGCATGAGGTACCGCCGGGAAAATACGCCTTAATTTCGGTCGGACAACCAAGAGGTCAATTGGTTGCCGTAAGGTCCAGACCAGCGACGCAAGCCGAGTCACCGCCACGCGAACTCCACCTCTGGCAAGATTGCGACGTCATTCAGGTACGTAAAAGGATGCTGCGAAAATTGGATTAAACGTTATAAATTCGAGGCAGAGGTAGTTGATACTCTTGTGGAATCAACATGGAAGTAGAAACGGAGATGGAGAACGATTCTACGTGACCGTCCTACAGAGAACGTTTCCTCTCCCTCCTACTTTACATACCAATCTTCGCGATACTTCTTCAAATCGTTAATTTCTTTTTCTTGTCTCGCTTCGAAATGGAAATGTTATTTTAGAAGAAAATTCAACGACTCTGGAGACTTTGTTGAAAAGTCTCACACCGACGCAAGCTGTTTCTTCGTAGATTACGATAGCGAGCTTATATCGAGAGATAAGATAACAAGGAATTTCATATTTCTTAGGATTACGTGACGGTCTATGATGGTTATACCACGAGGGATCCGGTGATACTGAAATTTTGCGGTGGCGGAGAACCAGTGCCCGAGGCAACGAGTAGCGGACCAGAAATTCTCGTCGAGTTCACAACCTCCCCTTACGGTACTTTTCTACATCCAACACCGCAACGTTCCTTACACGGATTCCAATTGGAAGTCCAGGTAGATATATCAAGTAAACGAAAAAAAAAAAAGTTCATTTCGTAAATGGAGTCCGTTCTTTCTCTTTCTCTAAGGTGAAATTCGTCGACGTCGATTCCCCGACCTACGCAAAGAACAAACGTTGCGAATTTTGGTTGAAAGGTAACAGCGGAGGAGTACTAGAATCTCCGCGTCATTCTCTACCGAGAAATAGTAGCTGCCTTTATCATTTACGCGGTGCTGGACCTACTTTGCCCAGTCCTACGCCTCCACGTCCCTTACCAAAATTCCCAGAGCAACGTCCTGGCACGGTATGGCGAAGGCCAGCACCGGCTCCACCACAACCACAGTTTCGCGTCTGGTTGTCGATTTTAAAGTTTCACGTTGGCATCACCGCATCTACCGGCACCGACGAGGATTGTTCGACGACTTTGATGGTTTGGGACGGAGAAATGATGCCCCTTGGGGAATGCAACGAAGCTTGGTAGGTCCTCCTTTGTGGTTAAACCTATGTTGAATTTAAAGAGATACACACTCGTAATCAAACATCATGTGTGTACCCTTGTACATGTATATTATTGGAATCTGTTCAGCGAGAAAGAACGTCAACGGTACATAGATAAACTCGGAGAAGCGAATTCGCAAGTTGCCGCACGTCCCGCAAACAACACGACTCTCCTTGCCAGGTATTGCAAAGACAAGGTACCAAGAACTTGCGACCATGCAATTCTTCAAAACGTCAGTCGTCCTTGTTCCCTCGGAGAAAGCTTCGTATCCTCCAGCAACAGCTTGACCATAGAGATGCGCATGATCGAATCTACCGCTCTGAGGTGAGTTTATTATCGTTATTTTTCTACCGATGATCAACATCGTCGATAGCGTTATCCGCATTTTATTTTTCATATACTATATTGTAATACCGCGAAATGGTGCGTTCAACCGTTCTACCTCTCTTACGGTAGAACGTAAGAAAAAGCGAGAGAGAGAGAGAGAGAGAGAGAGAGAATAAAAGTAACAAAGCAGGAGGACGCATCATACGGTCTAGTTAATCGTTTCCACCAGAAAGCATCCATTCCATCGTCCAAGTCTTTTATTATAATAACGCGGCGGCGTTCAATGTTTCTTCTCTCGAAGGCCCGTCAACTTCCGAGCTCTCTACGAGTTCGTCGATCTCCATCAGGATGGCGAAGCTTACGGCAGCGGACCATGCTCGCGCGCTTTCTACAGCAGAAATCGTGACACCTACCCGGATCGTAGATTTCAAGGACCTCGCGACATTTTTCTCTTTGGTCGTGGCGGATCGAAAAATCTCAGGTAAGTTGTTCGTAATAACGACAAGAACGTTTTCCAAACGAGAAGAGCAAACGCTTACCTCATAAAATATCTCTTACGAATCGCGAGCAATTTTTTATCGGTGTATCGGCTCTTGCAAACAAATCTTAGGAAAAAGAAAAAGGATCGATAAATGTGGGTCGATTAAAATCGCTTGGCTCGTTTACCGATTAACAAAGATCCATCGGCGATGCTCCTCTCGTAACCTTCCTGCACAGTTATCGATCCAAAGTCCGTTCCTTTGGGTAACCGACGAAGCATGTAAATTCGATTAAGTCGCTGAAAGTGCAGCCTGGAACGGATTTTGCAGCTGCGTGTACCGCTTCGAGGGTGAACACGACGAGGTCGTCAAGCTGCGGTTCAACAGACTTCTCAACGGCAACCGAACCTGTCGCAGCGTCTCCTCTTCCGATTTCAATCGTCTCCTTTGCATCGGATCCGATAATTTCTCCCTCAAAGTAAGTATAAACATTTCTAACTAATCTCTAACTAGTTCCTTTTAAATCTTATTTTCCTAATGTCACGAATGATATCACGAATAATATTCCGAGTTGCCATTCTCAGTCCGAAGTGCCGGTCGGTCGGTCGGTCGGTCGGTCGGTCCCCGGTGTCCAACGCAGAGATGCAAAGATCCAACACGGGTCTTGACGAACAAAGTTTACCGATCTTCTCTCGACCGTAAAATAGATGTTTCTAAATGTTTCCAAAACAAAGCTTCAAAGCTGAGATTCGATTTCGGAGTTTTCGATACGCACGAATCAATCTCTTCTCGACAGATTCATTTTCGCATCGTCGATATCGTTCGAAGGCGAAAATTTCATATTTTAATAACCTACTTAATACGTACTCCCATTGGTACCCTCGTAGGTACTCGATCTCCCATGGCCTAACGCACCTGCCGTTCAACGCGATTGCTTTTGCTCGAATCGTTCTCTTCCTATGAACATTAAATCGACCTCGAACATCGTTGAAGTACATCTGACGGTAACGTCTATGAACGCTCTGGACGACTACAACAACATCTTCTTCGAGGGTACTTGGGACTTTGTTAAAACGACTCCGTGTTTGCAAAAGCGTCGCGTAAGAGGACCTTCGGGAGTGATCAAATACAGATGGCCGCTCACCGACGAGGACGAGGTACTACATTTTATACGATTCTTTACCTTTATACTTTGGTAATACGATACGCTCGAGTTAATGATTCGCGCTAATGACTTTCAGAGAAACTGCGAGAAGCAGCCTTGGCTGATCGACCCATCTCCGGGACAATATCTCTACGTGAAAACGCACGGTTCGATAATGACGAGTACTGGCAAAAGTCAGTGTTCGACGAAGAATCGCATCGTTTTCCACACCGGAGGAAAACTTCGTGCTTCGGTATGTCCGCAACCGATAGACGATTCGAGGCAACAAGTCGTGGAAATTTTCAGCGATGGCTGGTCCGTCGGTAGAACCAATTTTATCCCAGTACCTGGTCGAGATCCTGTTAGAACTATCGCCGTAGAGTTCCTAATAACCGAGCCAGAATCATACGGCGTCACGTGGCTCGAACTTACCAGAAGGTATTAAAGATCTATCCCTCATGCTAGAAATAGATACCCGAGCATTTTTCATCCTATTATTCACCCTATCGTATTAATGTAGGCCAGCAATAACGTCAACGGCAGGACTACAAATGACTCGAGACTGCGAACAACGATGTCCGGAATTGGACGCGTGTATAAACGCTTCCCTGTGGTGCGACGGAGTCTCCCATTGTCCCTCGGGCTACGACGAGGCTTTGGCGCATTGTTCCATGCTCCTACAATTACCACCGTTGCATCTGGCCCTTGGAGTTTTAGCCATTCTGACAATCTTCGCGGTGATCTTCCTTGTCATATGGCGAATTTGCCGACAACGAACCAGCCGTTCGATATCCCAGCACCGATTGAAGAGCATCTCCTCGGAGACGGCGATAATCGATGGAAAAGAAGTGATCTGCTGACACAGCGACAGTTCTGTGCGATACGTCGAAGTCGACCGCGTTACCACCGTGTGACGACGATCGCCATCGTCCACCTCCTCGAACCTTTCAAAGAGTCTTTTTCCTTCGAAACAGCTCATCCGCTGGTGTTATATATCCTTTTCGATATAAGACGACTCTTGAAAGTGGCTCGGCTCAGCGCAGCGCGGCGTGGCGCAGCGCGGCGTAACGCGCAGAACTCGATTAAGCAACCGAGCGAATCGAACCAACTGACTTTGACGACGACGACGTCGACGACGACTATCTGCTCGCTCGCTCGCTCGCTCGGATCGTCATCGAAACTCTTTGACAGAACGGATCTCGCGTATTTCTTTTTCCTCCGTGCGCGAATGCTTCTGTGTTTCGTAAACGTTTAAATGTCTTCAAAGAGAAACGACGAGAGAATACCCAACGCGCTCTTGGAACGAGATTATCGATCCACCAAACTACGACGAGTTTGTCAAACTTTAGCAACGTCGTTTCAAATTCCAAGTTCTACCAACTGGAGAGACAAACGTTATACGTTTTAACGTTTACGTTACACCGCGGAGAATATTAAATCGCGAAAAATGACCGAACTGTTTTAACGAGGACAATAAGTAATAAAATCCTAGTAATATCCCACCGTTATGGTAGTATAGATTTTCGCGTATCAGGACGACGCGACGTCTCGTTGAACCTTACGAGCATCGATAACACTTTTCGATATCGCCAACTAATTTTCTTTCTCCTTGATAACGATATATAAGAAAAAGACAAAAAAAAAAAGTGACTACATCGTTTGTCAATTCCTTTAAGCGATCTTGTTCAGAGGTTCATCGATACTCCCACCGGTCGATCCTTGATACGTATATTCAAAGAAGAAGTAATTCGAAAATGATCCGAGACGTCGAGCACTCTATACGCGTCTAACGTCCAAACGAACAAGAGAAAAGAGACAAATCTATTCTGGCCCTTCGTCGACTATACTCTGTCTAATAAAATAAGAAGAAAATAATTGCGAACCGGGACGAATAAGTTGCATTCGATTAGCAATGAATTTGTATAGGACTTTCGGTTCGAGGGGCTGGACGATACGATGGTTGGTAGAGAATCGCGTAGTTTGAAATGATGTGATAAATATATACGATGCTGTTTTCCTCGAAGCTGTGCTTCGAAATTATTGTTACGCCCGATGATGCGACGTCGATGGAAAATATAAGGTACATGGAAATCCTCTCGGAGTAATAATCGAAAAGACGACATCGGCGTCGTTGTCACGGCTTGTACACCTTGTTCATAATTGTAAATAATTGATTATTGACCTATTTATATAACAGTTGAAAAGGCTACTCGTGCACGCGTTTGCCTCCGTTTGCAAATGATTTTCTTGATTTCCCGCTCACAAACGTTTGATGCGACGAACGAACGAACGAACGAACGAACGGCAACATGCCGCTTTACTACTAATCGATAAGTATGAATCTCGAGGCGAACTGAGAGAAAGGCCAATTCTTCAAAGGCAGGAAAAAAGAAAAGATGCACCAAAAGAATAGAAATTCGAGCGAATGATCCGTCAAATACATATATACTATATGTACTATACGTATTTTCAGCTAGCCAAAATCACCGCCAATGTTTTCGTCATTAACGACAAATCAAAGTTGATTGGCGAAGGGTCGCGTTAGAAAAAATAAGAGACGCTTAAAATAAACGACCCTCCACGACACGTTGAAAGAGGACAATCTTACGACATTGGTCGGAACAGTAAGTATCGTTTTCGATACTTACAAAAGAAATCGGTACGTTTTTTAAATCGTTACTTATGGCTTCTTTTTCTACTTCTTCGTTCGCTAATCCCAAAGTAACTAACGAAACTTACGCAAATCTATTCGTTTTTATCAAGAACAATCCAGAGAACATAAGACTGATCGTGTTTCGAGGCACTTAACTTCAGCGTCAATGAACATTTCTTTTGTCATCGTGAAATATCAACGAAAATGTGATCCTTCAACTGCCACGTATTCGTATTCGATACGTATGTATGTACATACGCGCTAAGTTTTTTAGCCAAAATTCTTTGATATTCAAACCGAGAAAACTCGAGGGGGAAAAAAAGGCCGCAATCGTCGTGGGCTCTGAGAGTGTAAAGATTCGTCTCGGCAAAAAAAGAAAAAAAAAGAAAAAAAAGGAAAAAAAAAGAAAAGTACAAAAGTAAGTAGAAAGAAAAAGAAAAGTTGATTTCAAACGGAGAAACGTATCGTGCGTCGACGATGTACATACATACAACAACCAACAACATACATAGCAACGTTTATAAGTTTTTTTCGAGACGACGAGCGAGCATAATTAACTAACGAAGAAACAGGGTCGCTCGAGTACGATAATTTGCGTGCACGCGCGTTATATCGCCTTTGTTCTTTCTACTATACTTACATTAGGAGCTTTCTCGTTAAAGCTCCACATCGGCCGAAGAAAGCAGCACAAACCGTTCGATATACGAGGAGGTATGCTAATACCGTAACATCGGCCTTCTTGCATTCTTATTCGTGACAACGGGAGAAATAATTTACATAATCGTTAATACCTATTTACAAAAGGCACAAAATAAGTTTAGAATAAGTATCGCATTGTCGCCAAGATATTTCGCTTTTTTGTCAAATTATCATCCGAAACGGATTCTAATAATAACAACAACTCGATGTCTAAACAATAATTTCATCCAAGGTATTTGCTTGAGGAGGATAATTTTTCGAAAACGCAGAGTTCTTTGGAGTGCAATAAAAGGAAGAAAAAAAAGGAAGAGAGAGAGAGAGAGAGAGAGAGAGAGGCGGAAACGCGTGAACTCGTAGGTGGAGGGTCGTTCGCTGAAGAAACTCGCGTGTATCGATCGTACGAGCGCACAGCAACGCGAAACAACGAGCAACAACAACGGTCATTCGAGCGCTAAACTTGGTGCGACGAGCTCTCGTCACTCGGTAACAAGGGAAACTTCGTTAGGACATCCTATCCTTTCTTTCCTTTTCCTGCACCACTTACGATCCTCGAGAATCCTTTTTTCCAATTTCAATTCTATTATCATTTTCGTAATCCTGTCTCTTTCGCTTTTTCATTACTCCTCGAAGAAAGATTCGAAATTACACGAAGCTCCTCTCTTGTAAATAATTCTCTTTTAGCTCGTAAGAATTTTAAAAGCTCTAGAGAAGCCGAGTGTGTAAGCCGTATAATAAAAATATTCATAATTATAATAATAATAATAATAATAATAATAATAATACTAATACTAATATTAATAATAATATTAATAATACTAATATTAATAATACTAATATTAATAATAATAATAATAATAATCACGTAGACGAATAGTCGTTATTATCACAATGTGAACCATATCCAAAAACGCGTTTAGATCGTTTAAATGTCGGCATCCCGAAGGAACGTCATTCTTTTGTCTCGTGTATCGACAAACATTATGATAAAACATTGATAAACGTTCGACAAATTCGTTTGGTCTTTTATATATAAAATGAGATGGACGTCGTGCTACCGAGACGAATAGTAATACGTTTCACAATGATTATTCATTTATTTGTATTATCGTCTCTCTCTTGATTTACTTTCATCAATTGAGTTTGAAACTCACCGACTGACTCTATTCAAAGTTTCTAGTCGCACAGAACTTTTTCCAAGTTCAAAGCTCTTCTCCTAAGACTGCCGAAAAAAACGCTTATTATTTGAAAGCATCGATCTTACACGATGATGACGCGCGCGTATATCACATATATGATTCGGCACAAAATCGATTCGTCCAATCGCATTTTTCTTCTCTTTTTTTTTTTTTTTATTTCTTTTCTATGCAATACGACCAAGGACAATTTTCCTACAAGTTTTTTCTTTTTTTTAAGTTCGATTAGTTACCAAGCCAATGCGTTTAATTCTAATACAAAGGATACCTTGAAAAAAAAAAGAAAAAAAAAAAAAACAAAGCGAACAAGCTCGCTGCTATTTCAATTTCAATGACTTCTCGTCTCGTTTGACAAATACTCGCATATATCGCTATCGAAAGCTAGTATTTTTATCGCAAATAATGAAATCGTTTGATCAAATTATATTAAACGCCGTTTTATCGCTATATAACAAAGAAAAGGAAAATAAAAACACACACAAAAATATATATATGAATATGTAAGGAATGAAAAGATCGACGAGCGTATTCGAGATCGTATTCTTACAAAATGAAATTCTTCTTCGGTATGGCGCGAAGACGATTGATTATTTCTCTAATGTTATTCTAAGAAAGACCAAATTATACTCTCGAAACTTTCGCAGCAGTCATTTATATTATTATCCTCTTAGCAGCGAAATAATAGTCTATTGTTTTTAGTGCATGCTCGTGCACTGACAGTAAGGAAAAATTAGAAAAATAAAAAGTAAACGAACAAAAGAAGAAAAAGAAAAAAAAGGAAAAAAAAAAAAGAAAAAAGAAAATAAAAAGATTCATGCATGAGGATGATCTGTTTCGATGGACGCTCGATTAGTACGGCGAAAATCAAGGTCGGTCAGCAAGAAATCTGACAATAAACTAACACGAATGGCAAATGCATACACACGTATACACACATACAGACAAAGAGACAAAAGCCACCCACACACGATACTGCGCTATCGCAAAGGCACATACGCGCGCGCGCGGGGCCAAGCGCAAATATACACATATACTTCCTGTATGCGCACACGACACCAATGTTTCTTAGTATATGTATGTAGAACCTAGAAACGGGGTTCGATGATCAGGTGACACGATTCCTCCTCCACTCGTAGATCTGCTCTCAAGAAAATCTACATTTTATTGGAATAGTCGTTAGAAAAAGGAGCGACATCGTATCACCTGATCTCGACGTGCATACAACACATATATTGTACCACGATCATTCCTCTACCAACAAATACGAACAACTCGAACGAACAACTCGCGAACGAGCAATCGCTGGACAATTACGTATAATGAACATAGTAAATACACCAAAGACGTGCTCGTATATTGCATATGTACAATGTGCATACAGTTATTAATTATACCGTTACTAATTACCGATTCGTATATCGAATATGCGACATTTTTAATAAATTATTTTGAAGATTGCGTCCTATTGTCTTTCCAAAAACCAATTCAACCTACATTCCAAACCTATCTATTACTTTTTTTTCTAATTCAACAAACAACTGCAAGCACTATAGCATGCATATAGGTTATATATGAGTTATTTATTTATAAATTGAGATTATATAGTTGGCAAATTTAATAAATCTATGGGTATTTTTGTTTCGATCTTATTAAACACGTTATTATTAAAATCATTATCAAATAACAGACGTTTGCTTCGGTTACACTATCTATCAATTTCATTTAATAGATATTATCTATTTTGCAAACAAACAAAATCCAATGTAAATATTAAACCAAGTTAATTAAAACAAGGATAAACGTTTTTTAATCTTTTTTTTTTTTATCTCGTATAATGTTTATTCTTACCTTTTATTCTGACTGTAATGTTAGTAGGAACATGTAGACCAGATCGTCAATGTTTTCAGCGAAGGTAGTTTGTTCAAGGTTAACTAGCTAAATAAAAAATCGATACACGAAATGAAATTTGACGACGTCACGTCGGTAAGTTGACTGCATGCATTTCTTTGTTGTATCTACGGTCGATACGATCGTTCGCTGTTTTCTAACCTTTCCTTTCTTTACGAAATAAAAAGAAATAAAAAGAAATAAAAAGAAACAAAAACATTAATAACATTTATATAGTGAAGCACGTTTATTTACAATTAGGTTAGTATTTGAAATAGTCATTGCACAACGACGACGAGTAATTCCCTTTTCCCCCACTCCGCCACTTTAGACAGGACGCTATATTTTGTTCTGAGAATTGCTCTGACGTTGTTGAGGCCGACGCATCACCTAACAGTTTCCTTCTTCTGACGCGGAAGATTAATCATTAGTTCGAGGTAATTCCTTCTCTTTCAATTGATTTTCTTCATATTAGATGCCAAATTCCAATTCGATGGAAGTAACGTAGTGCACCTTTTTTTAAGTGATTACGTCATCATTGGTAGTGCATAGTATAAATATTTTCAACAAATTTGTTTGACTAGATAGTGTTTCATAACATCTTTGCAAGGAACGTGACAGTTAATCGTTGGGCGTTACCAAACATTGTCAACGTTTTCCTCCAAACGAGTGACTTCAGTGAAAAAGATTGTTCGATTGGATAACTCACTCACAGGATTATTATTTACTGATACTTGTTCCTTTACTTGGTAGATCGTCGTCGTTGATTGTTTGAAACCACCAAAGCCAGGAGAGACAAAATGAGCTACGGATATCAAGTGAGATTTATTTCTTTTACATTTTTATTACTTTCTTATTTTTGTCCTATTGTATCTATATTTTTGATTCTACATCAAGTAAAATATTATAACCTAAGACAATTATACAGAGTAGAGTATATATGATAAACAATTTCAAATTCAATTCTGCTCTTATAATTGTTGATTTTCTGCATGACTTTTTGATGAAAAATATGTAATAGTAGTTAGTGCGTTGTATCTATATCTATAACATTATCCAAGGGACCGCCAGTGATCCAGTTTCCAGGACGTGGACCACCACCAACATCGTTTGGGGTTCCACCTGGTACACCTTCTGCCCCCGGTGCTCCACCATATTCGCAAACCACTAACACTGGCTTTTCAAACGCCCCTCCAGTTTCATTTGGCATGCCTCAACCACATTCTCCATATGCTTCTTATCCAATGCAACCAACTCCAATGCAACCAACTCCAAGCGCAACCAATCCTTCTCAGTTTCCACAACAAATGCCATATCCTTCTCAAGCACAATCAAATGTATATCCTCCGCAACCACAATCAAATGTATATCCTCCTCAACCACAATCAAATGTATATCCTCCTCAACCTCAATCAAATGTATATCCTCCTTCATCGATGCCTTATCCTTCCTCTTCGTATCCATCTTCTTCCATGCCAGAATCTTCTTACTATCCGCAACAACAAAATTCTATTTACCCTAATATTCCGCAAGAACAAAATGCACATCGCTTTGGAGATAGAAATTCGTCTTCTTTTTCAAACCCTAATATGTCATTGTCATCTAATTCAGCACCATATCCTGGTGGCAGCAATCTCGGGGGGCAGGGGTTAGCAAATGTATACTCTCATTATGGTGTTAATTTATCTTCGGCATCTGGTCGCATTGCCCAAGCCCCCCGGAGCTGCAATACGAATAAGGTGAGATATATATGCGCAAGGGATCTTCACTATAGATCAAATTATCTTTGATAAATTAAATAACCCTTCATTCTCTTTTCTTAACTATTAACAAGTAACTCATTTGTAAAAAGATGTTCTTCTCATGTATATGCATTGCTTTATTTCAGTTATCGCCCACAGTGGTACCATACAATGGCTTTGATGCCAGAGCTGATGCAGAAGTTATAAGGAAAGCTATGAAAGGATTTGGTACCGATGAAAAAGCTATTATCAATGTTCTTGCCAATCGGAGTAACTTGCAGCGACAAGAAATTGCTTCGCAATTTAAAACCCTTTATGGAAAAGTAAGTGTAATATACGTATATTTAATGCAAGCATCAATTGTGCAAATTTAATACATTTTATTTCTTAGGATATGATTAAGGATTTAAAATCTGAATTGTCTGGGAACTTTGAAAAACTGGTTCTTGCTATGATGATGCCCCTACCGCAATTTTATGCCAAAGAACTGCACAATGCCATGGCCGGTATTGGTACGGACGAATGCGTACTTATTGAAATATTATGTACAATGTCAAACCACGAAATTCGTATTATCAAGGAAGCTTACGAAGCTAGTAAGTTATTCGTATAATCATTTTCAAATCTTCATACTTCTTTTATTCTTTAAGTATTCTCTAAATGTATCTATATTTGGATAGTGTATGGTAGAAGTTTAGAAGATGATTTAAGATCGGATACATCTGGGAATTTCAAACGCCTAATGGTTTCATTGTGCTGTGCCAATAGAGATGAATCATTTGACGTAGATCCAGCTAGTGCCTTAGAAGATGCCAAAGTTCTCTTACAAGCTGGTATGTAACTTTTTGCCGACATCGTTGAATTTCTTTCTTATTGGAAACAACTAAAAAAGATATGTCTTTTATTACACATAGGTGAGCTACGATTTGGAACTGACGAATCGATGTTTAATGCAATCCTTGTTCAGAGAAATGTACCTCAACTGAAACAAATTTTCCGAGAATATGAAGGAATAACTGGACATACCATAGAAGCTGCTATAGAAAATGAATTTTCAGGGGACATAAAAAAAGGTCTCCTTGCTATTGGTACGTATATACATTCATATTAGTTCTTTTTACTTTCCATATATTTAATAACTATCAATATATCATTCCAAAATAGTCAAATGCGTGAACAACAGAGCTGCTTTCTTTGCCGAACAATTATACAAAAGCATGAAAGGATTGGGAACAGATGATAGCCGTCTAATTAGATTGGTCGTTACACGTTGCGAAGTTGACATGGGAGAAATAAAAGAAGCATTTAAGAATGAGTATGGTGAATCGCTGGAGGATTTTATATCTGTTAGTAATTTTCTTCATTTCTCTTTACAATATGATGCATTTTATAGAGATATAAATGTTACTTTTATTACTGTTGCAGGGTGATTGTTCTGGACATTACAAAAAATGTTTGTTAGCTCTTGTATCTTAAACTCTAATTGCACGAGAATCAATTTCTTCAACTTCTTCGCATTTATCAAAGATCTGCAAGAATTTCGAGTTTCTTTTAATATTTATATATCTGTACGAAATTGAAATTGATATGGATATGCACTTTTAAGTAACAATGTTCCTATGCTTATTAATTGCTACGAAAAATGTTACAAAATATGCTGCAAATTGTGCCAATCTTCCCAATGAATCTTTATAAAAAAAAAAAAATTAAAAAAAAAATAGCACATTTGTTGGATGGAATCTCTAATACTGTGGTTATTCATATTATATTTTTATAAAACTATTCGAACAAAAAGAATGATGTTATAAAGCTCTATCATTTTATATGCATATACATGTAGTTAGACATATACATATATATTATATTTACATAATACATGCAGATATATTATCGTTTTATATATTATGTTTAAATAAATTATGAGGATGGATTTTAAAGAAAAATATGTATTACAATGAATAAAAAATATACGATGGAAATACAATTAATGAAATCATGTAAAAAACCAAGAGCATACGTCTGATTAGGTTTAAGGAAAATGAAAAAAGAGAAGAGGAGAGAAGAATAACAGCGAATAAGAGGGGAAAACAGAAGTAGAAGAAAAGAAGGGGTAAGAGCAGAACAAAGATAGACGTGAAAGAAGTCTGAAGAGTCTGGCGTCGCCACGGTCGTCGATTACGAGGAGGTCCGGCAGTGCCGCACCGAGCCTCAAGCTATATCGAGCCAATTTTCGATCTTTCTTTCCTTCTCCCACTTCCCACTCTCTCTCTCTCTCTCTCTCTCTCTCTCTCTCTCTTTATCTTTGATTCGGTCAAGATCGAAGGACAGAATAGATTCGTTATTTTTTTGATCATCTTCTGCTTTTTTGGCACACTTTTCTTCCTTCCTTCCTTCGCCGTTCGGTGGAGGCGGAAACTGTAGTGATCTCCGAGCGTAGAGATTTTAACACCGATAGCTCTGTAAAAAGCTCGAAACCCTGGCCAGGAAAAGCGCGCTCGTCGAGCCAGGCTCGACGCGGAGAAAGAAGAGGAAGTACGATCATGGGGAACACTACTACAAAGAGACACTATTCCAAGAGCATCTCTTTAGCCAGCTCGTCCAAGAGACCACGCTGGGATGGACCAGGTAGACCCACATTTCTGCGACCGATTGTTCACTACATCAACTTTTCAATTTTGCTGATAAAAAGAGAAGGGATTTATAAAGTTTCCTCTTCACCATTTCTGTATGTACGTGCAAGTGAATTTCTCATCGCCCTCGAACAGTTTAAATAGTCCATCAGCTATTGTATATTTATTTATCATTAAATCTTTCGGAAATCTAAAATTAACTAGCGTGATTTGAGGATGTTTATTTTAACAATGGGTAGTCTTCCGTCTAAGACATGGGGAGAGTACGAAAATATAAGTTTGACTTGTGACCTATCATTTATAATTTGATTATTGAGCAATCGTACTTTTAAAAGATCTATCAAGCATAATAGAAATTCCAAGATTTAATGCCAATTTAGATTATTCTCAGTAAGAGATAGAACTGAAGAATTCATTTACTTCACATATAGTCTATGAACGAATGGAACCAATCGAAATGAGATCATTGCGAGAAGAGAAGAATACGATTAGTATAGAAATAATAAAAAGTATGTTGTAGGAGAAAATCGTAGACGGGTAGAATTGGTATTCGATGTCGGTTTAGCCTCTCTCGCATAGCTTTCCCACCGTGAAGACGGTGGTCTAGCGGTCCTCGGCTTTGCCAAACGTTTCACATTTTATTTTAAGAACGCCACGTGCAAACCTGTGGTAGAGATCGTCTATTCTACGCGACACGCACGTAAGCATCGTTCTGGCATGCGTGGATGATCATCTTCCTTCTCTTTCCCAAACGCTTCCTCAAACGCTTCCTCAAACGCTTCCTCAAACGCTTCCCCTACTTTTCTTCTTTAGGAAGACATTTTTTATGACAAATTTGTATTCATTAATTAGCTTATATTTGTATCCTTTTGGATCAGTTGAAAATAATGAAATACAGAAAAGCACGCTCGCTATTTATTGTCAGGATTGCCAGCACCTCCGGGCAAGCCAATTCTAATACCAGGAACGGACGATACGCAACCGGATGTGGTAGGAATACGTTGGGAACGATCGCCTAGTAACGGTGGTTCAGCCATCGTGGGTTATTTGGTTGAACATCGGCGAATGGGTTCGGCTTATTGGGTGCGTAGTACACCTGGCCTCTGCACGTTTCCGGAACTAACATTGAGTGGTCTTGAGCCAGGATGGCGTTACCAGTTCAGGGTCAGGGCACAGAATGCGGTAGGTCTCTCAGCTCCTAGTGAGTTGTCGGATCCGTTGACGGTAACATTGCAACGATCGGCTTCATCCGCTCCACAGTTCGACCTCGAACTCAACGATTTGATTGCTTTGGAGAACGAACAGGTGGTGTACTTTGTTCGAAGAAATCTTCTTCTTCTTCTTCTTAAGTATACAAAACTCTGCAAAGTATGATATTTTCAGGCGGAATTCGTAGTGAAATTTACGGGGGCCCCTTTACCAAAGATTTCTTGGTTCAAGGACGGCTTCGAAATTTTTAGCAGTAGACGAACGAGAATCTTGACAGAAAATGGAAAAAGTGTTCTCCTTATTCATCAGACAGCTCTTAATGACGAGGGAGAAATCAAATGTACCGCAACGAATAGAGCTGGCCATGTTAGTACCAAGGCCAGATTGATTCTCGAAGGTTAGTGAGGTATCAAAGTTGTTTGATTCATTATGGTTAAACGGAAGATGCATCGTGATTGATTGCATTGCACTTTGCTCTCAGCATATCCAAAGATACGACTACCACGACAGTACGAGGACGGTCTTCTTTTCGAACAGGACGAAACGATCAGATTGAAAGTATCTTTGGCTGGAAGACCATTACCCACGGTTACTTGGTTTCACGATGGAGAACCACTTTCTCAAGACACTAGACATATGTTCGAATCTATGGACGGAGAATCGGTTTTAAAAATTCCAGATGCAAAACGATTCGACAGAGGAGAGTACACCGTTAAAGCTAGAAACAAACTCGGCGAAGATACGTCTTCTTTTCTCGTTACCGTTACAGGTATGTTTCGCAATGAATAAACTTACTTTTTTCAAAGTCTAATTTTATCTCATATCATTTTTTATTATAGATCGTCCAGCTGCACCTGGAAAGGTAAACGTCACCATGACTTTGGGCAGATCCGTCACCTTATCTTGGAAAGAACCGGAAGACGACGGTGGTTGTAAGATCGGTACTTACATCGTCGAATATTATAGAGTAAGAAAATATCTCTTTCCCTCTCTCTCTCTCTCTACATATATTTTGTTTTCTTCAATAATTCAATAATGATACTTGTACGATCTTAGATCGGTTGGGAAGTGTGGTTGAAAGCAACTACAAGCCGTCAAACCACAGCTACGCTGACCGAATTGCTCGAAGGCTCGGAATACAGATTTCGAGTAAAAGCTGAGAATCCGTATGGAGTGAGCGAACCGAGCGAAGAAAGTGACATCATCTTCATTCCAGATTTAAATAAAGGGTAGGAAGAATAGAATAAAGAATAGTCGTCTCGTTCAATCGAAGAGAATTTTATGGGGATTTTATGAAATAGGGCAACGTCGTCGCAATTGAGTGGAAAGTCTCAAAGTCAAAGAGAGATCAGTCGGTCGCGAGGGGAAAAACGCGAGGTTAGTTTCGTTGAGCCAGCCCCGAGGAGCAGAAGTTTAACCAGAGAAGAAGATGGACAAGTTCGTTTTGGTGGGCGATCTTCGTCAGCGCAAAGACTGTCGATGGAAAGACCATCAAGAGCCGACAGTAGAGTCACATTTGGTCCCGACACAACGATTCACGTTGAAAGAACCGAACCACCCGTACCACCTGCTAGATCGAGAGATCATTCCTCTTCTAAACACGAAAATCGATCGGAGAATCATACGATGCGACAAGATGTTTCCTCTGTAAAAGCAAACGCGCAGGTATCATTGCGATTGTAATTATCCCTAATATATATGTGTCAATATTTTATCATCGCGCATGATTATTATCGTATTATTCATTATTTAGGATGGCTCGGATACTAAAAAGAGACCAACGTCACCAACACCCGTCACCACCATAGTGACTGTATCACCACCACCTAGAAGCGATTCAATCAGACGTTCTCTCTCATTGTCCAGAGAAAGAAGTTTGTCTCCACCTTTTGTATCTTCGACTGAAACAAATATAGAAGAAGAAAGAAATGCATCGTCTTCTCCGCTTCATCGACCTGTTTCAATTTTGAAAAAGCAGAACGGTTTGACCGATGAGCCCGATGCGATGCAATTAGGAATATCACCTAGAGAGAACGACGACATATTGCACGGTAGCTCAGAATTCATGTTGGTACTGTATCCAAAGGACGATGAAAACGAAACCAAGGAAGATAAGAAAGGATTAAATTTGAGAGGTAAATGTTAGAAGATTTGCGAAAGATTTGCAAAAGGATTTAATTCGATCTCGTTTTGGTTTGTTTTCTCGTAGGATCGGAGCAAGGTAGAACGGAGGAAATTGAAGACGAGGAAGATCTAATACCGCCTCCAATGTCTCTATCTCTTCCCGAATTATTCAGTATAGAACACGTAGTGGTAGAAACTATGCGCGAGGCAGTCAGCTCTACGGAAATGTTACACGAGCGTGCCATGGAACGTTTTTATAAAGCAATGGAGGCTGAGAAGGAATCGGAAAACGCTAAGAGAAAAGAAGCGTTGGAAAGAAGGACCGGGGAATTAGCTTCAATCGCAAAACAGGACTTTGAAATGGGAGGAGCTACGAGGAACGGCAAAAGTTCGCCTCTGCGGAGAAAGTTGTCGAATTCCGGTAGCGCCACGCAAAATATGATCTCTTCTTGGCAAGCTAAAAAAACTCGGAGAAGATTAAGCGAAGGTCAAGTCGAGGCAGCCTTAAAACCTATGAAACTTCTTTCACCGTTGCTCTTACCGGACGTCGAGGCTAGATCGGATCCTAATCTACCAACCGACGAAGAAACCATAACTTCGAGTACTTGGAGGAGGAGCAGCGACGAAGAGGGAGCCGAACGTCTGCGCAGATGGCACGAAACCAATGTCCCTTTGCTCGAGGAAACTTCGGCAGAGAAATCAATGGGCTTGGGTGTCGACTCGGCGGGAGTCGATTCCACCAATAGGACCAGTTCTCCGTTCAAAGAGGTGTGTCTAATATCGACGTTCTTTTGTTAAGTAACGTGGTCAATTTATGCGAATATTTGTATACATTACAGATCGTATCGGATGAACGACGAGAGCAGGAAGAGAGAGAGACGGAACAAGTAGAGGAGCAGAATGAAGAAGAGGAAAGTATCGAGACTTCGGAAGAATCGTCCGAAGAAGAGCTAAGCAGTGCCGATAGCGAAGATCTGAAAAACTTGAAGCAAAGAATTTTAGCGAGACAAATTATGGAAGAGGAAGATACGTATCACCCAAGAGGTAGACCAATCCCACATTTCGATAGTTTCGACAAACCTCATTTTTCCGAATATGACAACTCTCTGATTTCGGACGATTCAACGATACCATCGATTTGGGTATCACAACCCTTGTCACCTAGCAACGTTCAACCAAAATCTATTCTGAAGAAACCTAAGGAAGATGCTTCTATACGAATAAACGAGTTTGGCAAAGCTATACCACCTGAGAAACCAATAAGAAAAGTACCACCCGTGAGACAGGAGGAAGCAATCGATCCAAACGAACGTACTTCACCTACGAGCGAATATTACGATCCGACGAAGCCAGGTGTCATGTCAGAATCAGATACCGACAGTGTTTTATCGGCTGGAGAGGCGGCAAAGAATCGTCGAATACAAGCTAAAATGCGTTCGGCAACGCCCGAGGAGGAGATGAACGAAGCTGACATCGAAGCCAGGATGGCAGTCGTTAGTCATTACACCGAGATCGTACGAGAACATTCGTCTGGTCACAACGTAAGCAGTGGAAAGGTTAACGACGAAGAAGTCGGTAAGAAGAAGGTATCTGGAAAGAAATTAGAGCAAGGGACTGGTGTCGAAACTAACCGGACGAGAAAAAATAGCGTTGGATCGCGCGGTACTACACCCTCCAGAGATCGTCCCAAGCTACCCCCTAAAGAAACGAGAGAGAGCAGAGCATCTTCGCGAACGAGATCACCGAGTTCCAGATCGAGGAACGTTTCCGTCGAAAGACCTACTAGAGTACGTGCTCCGTCACGAGACAGGACTGGCCAGGATTGGCCAGGATCTAGAACAACTTCGGAAGAACGAGCATTTGGTAGAGAAAGATCCGTCGATCGAAGCGGCCGAAATTCAAAAGCTTCATCGCGATCGAGCTCGAGAGACAGGCAAAGGGCAACGACCCCGGCCGAACTTAAGATCGAACGTTTGCAGCGAGCGTTGGAGAGCAAAAAATACAGAGCTACGAACAAAACTTCGAATAAAGTTCCGAACAAAGCGGAACCGACGACGAACGACAAACGTCTTGCACTTGAAGCTCGGTATACGGTTAAGTCGACTGTCAATTACATAACCGACTTGACGCTTCTCATGGCTGCCATTTACGTTTATCTATTCAAGAAGGAAACTATGGCGATACCCTTTATCGCTCTTCTTCTTTACAGACGAATTCAAGAAGGTATTCGCGAGCGTATATCGGGACGTTGGTGGTCGTCCAAACGCAAGCACTGACCAATTACTATTTCGCTATATCGCATGAATAAAATCATTTGGTGAATTTTGTATCATTAGTCGGGGAAGGATTGTTTATCCTGATAGATTAAAAGAGATAGGATAGCTTGACAAAGGTAGGACAATACACGTAGAAGAAACTAGCTCCTTCGAATTACACATCGAATTATCCATCGAATTACACTCTCTCTCTCTCTCTCTCTCTCTCTCTCTCTCTCTTATTATCTTTTATTTTATGTTACGCGGAAGATGGTCTCTTTTTATACGCGTTAATCGGTCCTATTTGCGTCGCTCTCGCTTTAGTCTAAGAATTTTCATTCGATGGAAGACAATGCTATCATGGAATTATATCGTTTTTCTTGCATACCTATGTTTTATGAAAAAATACCTAAGTATATATATATATATATATATAGCTTACAGAAATAATTATATGTAATTTATGAAACTAAGTATTACGTTTATTTTTTGTCGATGCTACCAACGATCATCATTTAAATAAACATGTACATAGATACTATACGATTGCTATGCTTTATAATCAGTACCAATTCTTACATCCTAACAAATATTCCTGGTGGGTCATTGGTAAGTAAGTCGTCTGGATATTCTAAAATTGCTATGGACATTTGGGGCCTAAAATATACCTGCTATTCAATTGGCAAGGAATGGCCGTCGAAAACTCTTCCTTTTTCCTAAAGATTAGTTGGTAGACCAAATAATAGAGGTATAACGATAGAAATAGTCATGATTTCGGGTCATCCAAGTAACGTACAGTTATAAGTGGAAAAAAGGAAGTAAAATTCGATGACAGGAAAAGTAAAGAATTTGTTCAAAGGGTAGATTAAGGAAAGAAGAAAAGAAGGAAAGAAGGAAAGAAGGAAAGAAGGAAATACCGCGCCGCCAGCACTGGCAAGTTACATCAGAGAAATGCGGGCTTTGCGTACGGCGCATGTGCGCGTTTCGTTAAAACGACGAAGCTGAGAGTACTGTCTCGAGACGATTTTAGATCGGAGCAGGGCCTCCTGCCGTTGAATTTCGTGGCGTAGGGTGTGCTGCGTGTTTCGGGTCAAGAAGCGAGCCGATCGTTGTCGTTGGCCTAGTGTTGTCGATGCTAGTGGCGGTGTTGGTGCGCCGGTGGTTACATTCGAACGGGACATCGAGGACGGTTAGTTCCTCCGCGATAAACGAGTGATGTCAATGCGAGGACGAGCCGGTCCTCCTAACGTTCAACGTAATGACTCTAACAGGTAAGCTTTTCTTCTTCTTCTTCTTCTTCTTTCTTTCCTATCTTCGTATTATTTATTTACAAGATTGTCGTCGGTTGGTTTGCTGCGTGCCGTCGATGCTCGCGATCCTAAACTTTGGAGAACGTCTCTCTTTTCTTTTTTTTTTTTTTTTATCGCGCTTTCTCTTTACGTATCTATATTTATGCTACAGTTTTGCACGTAGGTACTGCCACACGTAGACTATTTTGCGAAGCACGTGAGTCTTAAAATATCAGGTAGTTCTCGAATAATGAATTTCTTCAAAGCAAAGCCGAGACCATTCTCTATATGAACATATTATTATATATTGTTCAATAATTGCACATTATTTCTTTATATTTAGATGGTATATCAAGAATTGAAATAGCATGGGAAGAGGAAGACCGAATCCTGGCGGTGCAAGGCCGCACCGGCGAGGATATCTTCATTGAATTGAAACTTAAATCAACAGAATGCACCGATGATTTGCAACTGGAGCTGTAAGTGTACAATCAATTATTACATTTCGTAGACACTGCGCGTTATCGTTCATTCTGGATTATTGGCCCTAATTTGTAATGTAAAACCTTGAAACGTGCCAAGGATCAAACGCAGTTTATTTTCGTCCGTCGCGTGTATTAATTTTCGCAAAGAACGGAATTATATTCGTCGTACTATCCTAGAAGCGGCATTATATAGGTAGTAGTATTCATAAGTATGTTTGTGGGAGCAGCGTTCCAATGGCAGGGTCGTAGATCTCGGCGGGAAAGTAACGTTTTATCTAATCATTGGAAGATCGCTGAGAATTTCTTTCCCTTTCGCCTATTTCTAGAATACGATTATGATCTCATTCAGTATGTTCTATCGAGAGATAGAACCATCATAGGATGGTGGGACGTGGGAAGGAAAGAAAGACGGAAGAGATGTGTGCACTTTCTTTAGGACTTATTTTTCTGTTCATTAAGACGACCATCTATTTCGGTCTCTTTATTCGTTTATAGTTCTCCCTTTGTAACTGTAACCGGCTTGCCGTGGTTATGTCGTTTTCGACTTGGCACAAGCTAAATTCGACCGAGCTGAAGATTTTGGCGAAAGGACGGAAGAGGCGCTCTCTACTCTGATCTATAAGAGCGAAAACGGAAGAAGCGTTCGCGGAGGTGGGAAGAAATCCCACCTATGACTATGAGCGGCTGCCAACTCGCTATCAGTCTTTCGAGGGAACGTTTCGCGGCGATTGCCGATCGCATCTATGACTTTTCCAAAACATACATCGCTCTATTGAGATCTCTATAAATGTCGATGACACCCCCGGAGCACAGTGTCGTCGCATCCATCGAAATATCCAACAATGCCCTTACTTTTTCTACAGACTATCATCGAAATCGACTTTTAAATGCAATACCTACCTACTATACGATGTCCCTATTAAAACAACGTCATGTTAATTAGTGAAAGTATTCGATTCGACAGATGAATCTTGTGCGCTTTCGGTTAAAGACTCGATAATGGGAAGCGATTGTTGTAAGTGCGCCGATGATAATGGCAAACCTATCAGAGGATCCTCTTCCAATGGTTCGGCATATCGGTATGATATTTAATAGAAAATCCATCAGAGTAGCCTAGAATTATGTCACGATCACCTCGAAAGGGTTACAGCAGCTATGATTCAAACAATTTCTAACGAAATTTATCTTTTGCCAAGTGCATAAATATATGAAAAGAATAGGAAATGTCAAAAGGACTAATAGAATATTTCTTATTATCGGATTAATTTCATCGGATGACAATTATTTCCGAGATGATATTACAATGGTAATCGTATTAATTTTAAAATAAAAATTAGTAATATATACATATACTGTACACGAGGCTAACATATTTCAAGCATACGAATGGTCCAACGCACTTCGTCTTGGCATTGCTCTACTGCCCTATTTTCGTCACCTTTTTACGCGACCAACAAGAGAAAAAGATCGAACCACGCGTCTACATTGAACACTTTTGCATCACTTTACTTTATTATTACTTTATTATTTTCGATTACGTTATCGGATCGAGAGCCATTCGATATTCCCAAATTTATCGAAGCAATTGAAAATCCATTGGCGATCTAGAAATACCTCGAATGAAAATATGTGCTGCAATAGTTCGGAACTGACGCAAAACAGAGAATTGAGAATATATACACGTAGGTAGATAACTCTCGTAGCGGTGGGCGCTGTTTTCTTTTTCTTCGAATGATTGTCAATCTTGTTGTTCCCTTTGGGTTCTGTTCGATGACGAGACGTTAATCTTAAAATAACGACCGCCTTCGAGGCCGACGTCGTTCGAAATGTGTCAAAGGCACGCTTTGCTTCGATCAAATACCGATGCGCAAACGTAAACATACCGTTTTTTTTTCGACGCTCGCTAATTATAAGATTTCAATAATAAGACGTTCAAGGATTACACCAGACCATTCTTTCGGGAATGTCAATGTTTACTAAATTCTACATTTGTTACTAAATTACCCTACTCTCAGGAGAGTGCATCGAACTTTTCGTAAATAATATTAAACATTGGTCATAGGTGAGCCTATGTAAATACTCTAAATACTCTCTAACGTAATTGACGAATTTAAATTTAGTTGGTGAGTATTTTTAATCGATCTCTTTCTTTCGCGCGAATGAAAGATATATGCTTTGGAATTAGAATCATTGCCAGTGAATGAGTCGAACCATAACATTTCCAAACTGTTTATCCATTTGCAGGAGAGCGGAAGTTTTGATACTAGATAGAGTTACTTCGGTATATATATATATATATGTCAGTATATATTCGATATATTTGTTGAATTTCTGTGGATTTTAGCTTACGCGGTGACCGGCCGATGCCACCTAATCGGTATCGGCTACAAATGAGAGGTAACGTCGTACAATTGACGTTGAAACAATCGCAAAAGGACGACACCGGTCAATATGCCTTAGTAGCCACGAGAATCGGCCAACCCTTTGAGAAGGGATCCACTAAGAAAATTCATGTGCGCGTCGACGAGCCGAGTTACGAGGAAGGCGATCCACCCATTTTTCTCAGAAGATTGACAGACCTCGCAGTCAAAGTTGGCACTAGAACGAGATTCCTCGTAGAAATACGAAGCTCGACGAATACCAAGGTAATTCTATGGTTATACGGTGGTTATACGATGGTTATTTATTAGTTTCGCAAAAGAGAAAAACAATAAAATATTGATGTATAAATTCAGAGACGGAACCCGGAAGGAGTTGTGAATTATCTTTGGTCTTTCGACTTTTCGTCTTGTTCGTTTGTTTTACTAGCAGACGAAACGGGAAAGACGAATCGAATGGGATAGCAAAGGTCCATGACCCGAGGGGACCAAAATTGTTACGCGTTCTTGCTATATTACTAATACACTTGCTCCTATTACTACTACTCGCCACTATTATTACGCGTGCATCTATCCTTACTATAATAAGGATGACGCGTCTCTACTAATCTCGGCACATTCCTTTTCCTTCTCTGTTACATTATAGAGAGAGAGAGAGAGAGATATTTTCGATGAAAAATGAAGTAGACGATAAGTATATTATTTAATGCGACAATTTTAGGTAATTTGGCACAGAAACGATCTACCTATTCAAGCAGGATCGAGATTTTCCTTTGTACACGAGGGCAATTTTTACTGCGTCGATGTTGCACCGGTAACAGCGGAAGATCAAGGTGACTGGACTTGCATGGCGGAAAATCAAAATGGCAGATCATCGTGCACGTCGCATCTCAGCGTCATTGGTAAGTTTCTAGAATATCGTTCGGTTGCTATTTGTACGTTAACGTCTCTCTCTCTTTCTTTCTCTCTCTCTCTCTCTCTCTCTCTCTCTCTGTACAGTGCCGAAAGCGTACAAGAGGCCAGAGTTTGTAGAAGAACTTCGAGCACTGTTGACGGAAACAGGAACCGTATCTTTGGAATGCAAAGTCGTTGGCGTGCCAACCCCAGTATTGAGATGGTTCAAAGACAACAAAGAGATCAAAGCCGGCGATGTGTTTGCTTTAACGGCGAATCCCGACGATCCAACGTCTTTGGGAATTTACACCTGCGAAGCTGTCAACTGCATGGGCAATGCATATTCCTCCTCAAAGGTAAAATATTTTCAATAATAAGAAGATTTGAAGAGACCCATTTGAGAACCATTGCGTTGCTTATCTCTAATCAGGTACACGTCGTTGGAAAAGGAAGTCGGGAGGGTTCTTTAAAACCAGCCGATACGTTAACGAGTTCAGGACCTCCACCAGTATTTAAACGAATACTTCGAGACGAATGTTGCAGAATTGGCGATTCTCTTACACTATCGTGTCAAGGTAAATTTAGACTTAAAGTATCTTACAAAGGTAAGTAAGGTATAATAGATTATACATGGGTTCCTTGACGAATATGTAGTTCACGTTCCACCATGGCCAAAGTCGATAACGTGGTACAATCAAGAAGGGCGCATAGATCCAAACGAAAAGTATCACGTGATGGAAGATGGTCTAGGTGGTTATTCGATAGAAGTGAAATTGGTCGAAGCTATGGACGAGGGCGAATGGAAATGCGTCGCTACCAGTGCGCAAAATGTTAAACAATTTACGACGTGTCATGTCGCTATGATCAGTGAGTGAAAACGTTATACTTATCGAAATATACTATAATATAATGTCTATCGAATTGCTACAACAACACTTGTCATTTTTCTTTGTCGATAAAGTTCCAAAGAACTATAGGAAACCGCGTTTCATGGAAAGCTTAAAAGCGGTTCTCACGGAAGAAGGTTTGGTATCGTTCGAATGCAAAGTCGTCGGTTTTCCAACTCCCTTATTGAGGTGGTTCAAGGATGGACAAGAATTAAAACCAGGAGACGTTTACCAATTAACCGGGACCAACTCGTTAGGTTCGCATCCTATTTAATATTAGACATTTGAAAAAGAGCAACATATTCAATTCGTTGATCAAGAAATTCGTTGCAACAACAGGTTCTTATTGTTGCATCGCAAAAAATTGTATGGGCGAGGCAAAGAGTACCGCAGAGTTAACGATTGAAGATATTCAAAATCAATTGAACGAGGAAGAACGCCTTCAACTGTTGAGTTCTGACAAGCCACCCAAGTTTATTAGAGGTTTAAGGAGTTGCGAAGCAAAGATCAACGAAGAATTATTTCGTTTCACGGTGCAGGGTTGGACAATTTTCATTGATTACCTATGTTGATTACCTTTCGACTCGTTGCATTGAATTTGCAATGATTTTTCAGTGAGCATTTCGCCGGAACCAACTCTCTCGTGGTACAAAGACGACGTGGAGGTGATCGAAGGTGACAAATATCGTACGGTGAAGGAAACTCTTGGCACGTGTCATCTCGAAGTTCGTCAGCTTGAAATTTCCGATCAAGTAATTTATTCGATTATCCTTTATTTTATATGCGATTTATGGTGACGAATATTTGGACGATTTCTTCGATGTTCGTTGTTTAGGGCGAATGGAAATGCGTGGCTGCTAACGATTACGGACACAGCGTTACTTCCTGTTTTCTCAAATTAATCATTCCTAAGCATTACAAAAAGCCCAAATTCTTGGAGAGCTTGCGAGCAATATTATCCGAAGAAGGTGCCGTTAATTTGGAGTGCAAAGTGATCGGTGTACCTCAACCAATTCTCAAGTGGTACAAAGATGGTGTGGAATTAAAACCAGGCGATATACATAGAATAATTACGGGTCAAGATGGTACTTGCTGTCTGGGAACGTATACGTGCGAAGCTATCAATTGTATGGGAACGGTCAGCAGTTCTGCTTCTCTACTAGGTTTCGAAGGTAACACATCCAAATGGAACGAGTATCAAGTATCAAATTCATATATAAATGCCTCGTATCGTATTTTAGACAAAATCAATAGCCGAAAGGATGGCAAAGAAGAGGCCCAATCGTCACCGAATGGTCACGAATTGGCAAGAAATTTATCCCTCTCGACGATTCACGAAGAAAGAACGTCTCAATTATACGATACCCCGCAGACCGATCGTTCGATGACCCTTGACGATAGAGGCGAAGTTTCTTTCAGTTTTGATGGTAAAGAAGTGTCGGTAAGCCTTTACGAAACTCCCGATCTTACGGAAGAAGAAGCTCTGCAGATCGTCGAGATGTACGCTGACCAATTGTCCGAGCACGTTACAGGTAAGCGATTTTCAGATTTCAGATTTCACTGTTGGTATGTAAAAAACATAAGGGTGATTTTTTTTTAGAGCACAACGTCATTGAATTGCCACCGATGAGGTTCGTTAAGGAGAGCTCCACTTCTGGAAACCTTTTAATGGAAGCTGTCGTGATTGACGTTTCACCGGATTATTTTGTCAGCGCCGAGGACGGAGACGATCTAAGAACGGAAGCAGATTTTGAAGATGTCTCGATCATGGACGATCAAACTCGGGTTTTCTCTTCTCCCGAAGACGAATCCTTGTCGTTGAAGAGATCGGCCAAATACAGTTGGGAAGGCGAAGAGAAACCGCCAAAGAGGCCACCGCGAAAAAAATCTACGAGTCGTTCTTCCTCCAAAAGCGACGATAAAAGTCTCAAATTTGAATCGGAAAGTTTTCACAGCGCACGGAAGGACGACGATCGACCGATCTCCCCTCTTTCCTCCGAAAGAATGGACGACAGCGAGTCCATTACTTTCGCGGATGCGTTGTCTTCCGCGCGATTTTCTATTTCGGAAAAGCAAAACAAATTAACGAACGACGATGAAAATAAGCAAAACATTGGTGCTGACGTCGAAGGGCTAGATCAATCTCTCAAGACGAATTCGCGAAAGAGACAAGAAAAGAAAGAAAAAAGTAGTTCGGAGGAATCTACGACGTCGATTCCAACCGATCTAGATGGGAAGACAAGCAAAAAGAAGAAGAAGAAGAAAAAGGGTGAATTTTGTCAGCGTATCGAATCGATCGATGCTCGGGTCGACGATGACAAAACATCCGACAAAGATAAGTCTTTGTCGAAGAATAATAAAGAACGGATATTGAATCAAATAGTAAGGTTGACGGAACCGGTAGTCGCGATTCGCGACTCTTTGGTAGACTTAGATCGATACGACAGATTTTTAGAGCTCGAAAGCGAACAACGATCGAGAGATTTCGTTTTGGAGTCGATCATCAAACCGATTCAGACCCTTTGCGAGGAAGTATCTTCGGTAGAAGCGAAAGCTTTGAAGAATGCGGGTGACAGGTCTCTCGGTCAAGCGATAAGAATATCTCTGCTGGAAACTATCGGGGGCCCTACCGAAGAACTTCTTCGCGGAATTGAATTGATAGATCGACAACGAAGTTTTCGAGCTCAGAGAACCGACGTTATCGCTATTCTAGAGTCCTTGACAGATCCGGTCGACGAGATTCTAATGGGTTTGACAAGAATCGAACAAGAACTGACCGGTAAAGCGAAAGGAGAAAAACCTGTGTCTTTTCTTCGAATGCGTCGAGTCGTTTCACATTTCGACGAAAGTTTGAAGAATCTTTTCGTCAGAGAAACAGAACCCGTCCGATTGTTTTCCTATTTAGATAAAGTTATCGACACGTTGAATTCATTTTTGCAAGATGTTTCGATAAATCCAACGACAGGTACGATAGAAACGGTAGATACGGTGCTCGTAGAGTCCTTATCAAAATCCATCGAAGAAACTGTAAGAGCAATCTCCAATCGAACCGAGTCCCTCGAACAGAGTCGTTCTACCAACGACACAATTTCTCTTCTAACCGATCGACTATTGCAGCCTACTCGAGAATTAAGGTCTAAATTGGATACTCTGACAGCTGCTTTAGAAACTTACGAAAATAAAGGCGACCCTCTTACGGAACGTCGTGGTAAATTAATCGATTCTTTGAAAGAGTCCTTAAACGATACCCTCACGGAAATTCTCCATTACCATGCGAAAGAAGAGAAGGAAGTGCATACGGAAAATGACAGTAATTTTGTCGAAGAAAGTAAACGCATCTTTGAAGATACGCGTTTGGCTCTACAAGAGGCTCTTGAAACTTACGAGACGATATCCGGTTCATTGGATCCTCGATTCACAGCCGTGTTTGAGGAAATAAATGAGACCTATAATAGATTAAGCGTTAGAGGACAGGAAGCGAATTCCTTTGAAACGTTACTCTATTCCGTGGAAGAACAATTAAATGTTCTTCGAGACACCGTAACAGACGTATCGAGTATCAAAGATTCTACAAATGTATTGAAACTTTTAGCTCCGTCGATAACTCGATTGTCTATCGCTATGCAAAATTCCTCGTTAAATTGTTCATCCGTGCAACCAATTATTTCGATTTGCTCGTATATAGAGAATATTATTCGCGGAGATGGTAGAATTGAAGAAAGCGAAAACACGCGATTCTCAGTGACGGATAATCTTCTCGATCCGTTGATAGAAATTCAGGCAACTCTGAGCTCGGCAATTCAGGATTTGGAAGATATCGAGTTACCTGCCAATGGCAGTATCGCTCGTCAACAAATTCCGATGGCGCACGAATTTTCCTCGACATTGATAGACCTGAGGCAATGCATATCTGACGCGGCGCACGCAGCGATGTCTTCCAACGAAAATGAAATCTTTCGTTGTCTGACGGACGTCGAGGAACCTTTGTTGGATCTTCGAGATATGTTAGCAACGAAAGACGAAAAGTCTCGGGAGGAACTCGCCGTGATAAAGGAAACCTTTTCAACGTCTATTGGAAATTTGCAAGACCTATTGTCTATGGTTTTGATTACACCTTCCTCGTCGAGCGTTGTTAAATCAATGAAAACGAACATGAAAACGGTCTTGAAGATAATGAAAGACATTCGAGGAGAAATAGGAAAAATACCAAAGACCACGTACGTTGCTAAATTGCAACATCTAAACGTAGATGAAAAATTAGGTAGCATTAATTTCTCTTTAACGTCGGTTTTAGAAAAGCAAAAGAAAATCGCGGCTTCGTCGTCATCATTGACTAATTCGGTAGAAATATTACAGGAGACTGTCGCAAATTGTGCCGTAGCAATTGCTAGCTTGAAAGAACCCAAGGAGGATGAAAAGATAGCAAAGGAAGTGTCACAATTGGGAAAACCTTTAGAGATTTTGCAACGAGCCCTTCTAACCGAGGAACACCAAATAGAAGAAGAAGAAATATTGAACGATTTGATCGAACCAGTCGATAGATTGAAAACACTGATGAAGGCTGTCGTGGAAGGTGGCAAATCTTTGGAAGAACTTATTCCCATCGTAGAGCTATTGGAAGAAATAGAAAAGGATGCAACTTTGATAGCCAAAGAAACGTCGAAGAAAAAGGATCAATTAATAGTAAGCCAAGAAGAAAAGACTTCGTCGAAGCAATTGGCCGATAAAATAAATCGTTCATTGGATCCTATCCGAGGTTGGTTATCGACCACCTCCGACCAAGATAGTCTCAGAGACGAGGAAGCGTCTCCTCTAAGCTCCTCGGTCGATGAACTTAAACGAGACGTTACGAGAATAGCCATAGAAACATCTTATTCGGATCCACCGAGCGATCAGGATTTGATCGAAGCTCTGATCGATCTTCGGGAACCTCTGATGCGTTTGAAAAACGCCATCTCCATGTACCACGAGCCAGAAGATCTTGCTGCTCTGGAAACGTTGAGTCGACCGATGAAATATCTTTTACAAACGATTGCGCACGTTTTGGAAGACCATGCCGAGGAAAAAAGTCTTCGTTTGATTTTAGATATCGTTGAAGAAATAGAAAATCGAATACCGATTTCCATTAAAGAAGCGCTTTATAAAAAGGAACTTCGACAGGTGGTCGAGACATTGGAAGAGAGTGTATCACCTGCTACGACGGATATCGTAGAAGAACCGATCCGCACCAGAGTACCAAAGGAACAAACTGACAAACCTAGCGAAAATGCAATGGAGAAAGACTTGATGTTTTCGTTACCTAAAATACTTGAAAATGTTCAATTGGAAGCTACCAGTATCCTCGAGGATTTGGAACAACCCATGACGGGAGAAATGATTATTCCTCAAACAAAATTGACCAACGCTCTTGAAGAATTTACTAAGATGATCTCTACCACGCGTATAGCTATTTCCAATTATGATAAAGGGCCAAGCAAGGAAGAAGAACCACTTTTGATTCTTAATAATTTATTGAAACCTCTTACTATGATAGAAGAAGCTGTTAATTTGACCGAAGAACTAGGCGTAGCAGAACTATCGGTTCTGAATCGTCTTGAACAGTCTCTCGAAGACACGGAGAAATATATTCTAAGACCGTGTCTCGAAGTATGCGAGAAAGATCGTTCGAAGGACACTTTGAAGGAACTTCTTCGAGTATTGGATGACACTAAATTGAAGATACCTATCGCGATGAAGGAAGTAAGTTGTAGACAAGAAATGTTGGGATATCTTCGGGACATTTCAAAGCCCCTGGAAAGTATTGAGGAACAAATGAGAGGTCTCGAGACAATCTCGGAAGATACTATAGAAAAAGACGTGGCGAAAATTCTCGTCAAGCCGATAGATATGTTATTGCAAGCTGTTAATAAAACATCGCAACAGACTGAAATTCTCGATCAACGTAAGGAAGTAATAAAAGAACTGAGAAACATAACCGAACCATTGGTCAAATTTCTCAATTGTCTTTCGGTCGTGCAAAGGAGTCGTCAAAGTTTAGTACCAGAAGTAGCGTTACTCGATGAAAGGAGAAACGTCATTTTCAATTCCGTCGAAGATCTTCGACTTAAGATTTGCGATATTGTCGACAAAATAGCGACCGTAGAGGATGGAGGCTTTTTCGAGGTTCCCTTAATATCCTTGAACGATGCCATTTTGTCCGTTCGCCAGCAAATTGAAAAGGTAGATTATTCTCCAAAACCAAGTACCATGAGATTACATTTTCAGGATTATTTCATGAAATCGTTGAGCAGATTGGGAGAAACGATTGATGCTTTAGAAAAGGGCACAGAATTATCTGGCGAGGAAAGTATTTGGAAATCGTTGAAACCTCTTAAGAAACAAATATCTTTGTCTCAATCGCAATTTTGTCCAACCTCCGATGAGTTTATCGACGCGGAAGCAATCGTCGAAGGATTTTTATATCCAACCAATCAACTTCAATCGGCCCTTGGTGCTCTGAAAGAAAGTATGAAAGATAATGCAACGGCAGCATCATTTACGAACGTTTCCTTAGGACTGTTTGAAAATTTGGCTGATTCGATCGCTGATCTAGTATATTCCTTGTCCTCTTATCGTGCAGGTTTGATTAGCGAGGGTGCATCAGAAGGATCCTCCATCATAGAAACGTTCTCCGCTGCTTTAGAGGTATTAGAAAATGTTAAAACTTCCATAACGAGCATTCAGGATATGATTAAAACCGCTGAGAGACAAACCAAGACGATCCTTGAAATCAAAGAGCCGGAACGGAAAGAAGAATCGAAAGATAAATCCGAGGAAACAGCAATTTCTTCTGTGAAAGAAAAGATTGAAATGAAAGAAGAGGCAGTACTTCCAAAGACCATTGAAAAAGATGAAAGAATATCGCACGAAGAAAAAGCACAAATGGAAGATCAGCCTGAGAAATCCGAAGGACTTGGTTCAATGATAGAAGAAACCAAATCTCCGCATAAACTCAAAGTGGAAAGACAAGAAGAAACGTCGATTAAAGTTGATGAAAATATTCAAGGGAATACGAACGAATTGGAAAGAACATTGAAATTTGTAGAACAGGCGGATGAAAAGTTGCAAGAAAAAGTACACGGTGAAACGACGAAAGAAGAAATAAAAGAAGAAAATGTTCAAATGACATTGGAAGAACGGAAAGTTGAAAATATAGTTGAACAAGAAGGAGAACAAATTGTTGGGCAAATTTCTTCCGAAAGTATAGGAGATTTGGAAAATAAAGAGTCGAAATCGAGTCCAACGCAAGTAACCGTCGTTGTCGACGAAATCATTCAAGTATCTAAAGAGGAACAAGTAGAAAGCGTAATGGTCGTCGAAGAAATTTTACGAGCCGATTTGGAAAGGAGTCCAGAAACAGCAACGGCAACTGCAACAGCAACTGCAACGGCAACTGCAACGGTAGAATCAATTGCTTCGAATGCTAGCGAGGCACAATTTTTAGCGGAAAAAGGTGTTAAAGAACGCCTTGAAGAACCAACGAAGACCGAGAAAGAAACGAAATTCCTCGAATCAAAAGAGGAGAGTATGCGAGTTGATAAAAATACCGAGATACTTAAACGAATAGTCTCAACTCTGAGAACTTTGGAAACGCCTATGAAAGATTTAACCGAATTCATAAATTCAGCTAAGAAGGAACCGCTGACTGTTAAATCCGAAGAAGAACATAGAAAAATACGAGAACTAACGGCTTTGATACAAATACTAAACGATTTACGAGCGACGAGCGTTTCCATACGCTGTACGCCCGCCTTTTCCGCATACTCCAATTCGAAAGATCTATTTTCAAACATAATCAATTCCGTGGATACCATGGAACGAGCCACGGCTAGTATTCTTCTTCTGACGCAAGAACATCTCGTACCCGAACTTAAAGAAAAATCGCTTATTGCTCTAAAGAATCTTATTAATCCTCTAGAGTCGATAGAGAAATCATTTTCCGCAGTACTTCAAGTTGAAGGAGTGTCCAAATTAACAACGGACGAAAAGAATAAATTATCGATCACGGTGGAGAATCTAGTTAATGTCATTTCTAATCTTAGAGAAACCGTCTGCTCCATCGATTATGCGAAATCGGCAACGCAATCGATGATAAACGAACAGAAGATTATACCCGGTGAAGCTACAGAAACTGTAGAAAATATTAAATATGATCGTCTGCCGATCGAAGAGACAAAAGAATCATTGGAAATGTTGAAGGTATCGATGGCCGCTGTGGTGCAAGAATCGGTGCTTGCCGAAACCGAAACCGAAACCGAAATCAAAATTGAAGACGCGAAAGAACAATCTGCCACCGTTGTAGTCAGTAAAGAAGAACCTCTTTCTATCCCCATTCAAAGTTCTTGCGTTGAATTAATTGAAGATATCATTGTTCCGATTCAGGAACTACGAGAATCTTTTTCTCATATAGGACAAGAAGAACAAGAGACTGCGTTGATTCATTCTTTGGAGGAAGTGGAAAAATCGCTGCGTTTCCTGGCAACTGAAGGAGTTGCGACCGTAACTGGGCAGGATGAAAGTACTGGAGAATTGAAAGAAGCTGCTTTGCAACGAGCAAACGTTACGCCAGTTTTAAAGGAATTGCAAAAATCAATAGCCACAATCGAAATGCAGATAACGTGCGAAGCTCCCTTTGCTCAAGAGGTAACCTCGTCTCTAGAAAAATTGCAACGTTCGACCGCGTCGTTCCAGCAACTCGTCGAAACTGAAATCGGCTTGGCATCGACTTCTCAAAGTGTACCAGATCAACTTGAACAAATAAAAGTCGAATCAAAGCCACGAGAAGATATCGAAAGAGCAACGTCTTCGATTAAAGAGTTGCGGGAAACGGTCGGAGATTTGGCAAAGAAGGGTACTTTGCAAGAGACCGAACTCGCGTTAGCTTTGACCAAATGGATCGAACCGTTAGAATCGTTGGAAAGTACATTTTCGTTGGTACTTGATGAAGGATTGGACGGTCCTCCGCTTAAAGAATCCATAGGGTCAACTTTGGAAGAGTTGAGAACGTTCGTGCACGGTACCGAAGAATATCTTATGATCGGTCAAGAGAAATTATCCTCAATCGAAGATACCGAAAGTCAGTCGTTAATGAAGAAGGCCACCGAATCTTTGGAGGAGCTGAAAACGTCCCTAGGGATCGTTCACGAATCAATGACCGTTGCTGATTCTAAGGAAAAACTTTCGGACATAGAAAATATGTCGATCACGGCTTTGCAAGAATTGGCAAAAACTGCGGAAGAAGTTAAGAAACACTGTACGGCGATCTTCGAAGAACCTAAAATCATAAATGCCCTTAGTAAAGTAACTCCGGTAAAAGAAAAGGTAGCGATACTCGAGGATATTATCTCTCCGGTTCGTCTTTTACAAGAATCAATAGTAACTATTGAAGAAACGAAAGTTCACGAGACCGAGGAATTGAAAGTGCCAGAGGAGAAGGTGTCAACAAGATTGTTGAATACTTTGGTGGAACCGTTGCAACGATTGGAGAAGATTTTTGTTGCCGTTATGCAAGGAGAACACGCGACCGCGCAGGAAACTGAAAATATTCTGGAAACCGAGGAAGGCGCGGAAAAATTGTCCCTTGTTCCGGTACTCGAACAAATGGATAAAACTTTAGCGACGATAGAAGAGCAAGTAACGTTGGAGGGAGGAGCGGATAGTATGTCCAAGAGCACCGAAAACCTATCCTTCGTGGAAACGATAGCTGAGCCGTTGCTCGAATTGAGGGCATCGATAGCAGCCGTCCAGAAAGTAGCCGCGATCCTTCCCGAAGGAAATTTGGAGGAATTATCGGAAACCGAAAATGTAAATGCTTTGGAGACCTTTGCCAAGTCTATATACGATTTAGCGGAAAGAATCGCCATATCGCGATTCAACGAAGAAGCGATCTTCGAGCCTGCACCCGACACAATGTCCGAAGGCGTGTCCTCCTTGAAAACTTGGCCAGATATCGGCGAAGAAGAACCTCCGGTCAAGGTAACGCGAGCAATGATAGTCGAACAAGGTATCGTTGAAAGTCCCACCGAAGCGGCATCCCCCTTTTCCGAGGAGGAAGGCACCATCCTGAGAACTCTTGCCAAGCCGCTCGACGAATTGCGAGAGTTAATGGCATTGATCGTCGAGGAACGAAGAACCACCGAAAGCACCTGTCCTTTCGCGTCGCAGAACGTCGCAGACGACGATGGTTCCTTGACAAAGGCCATAGCGAAACCACTGTTAGAATTAAGAAACGTTGCCGCGACGATAATCGAGGAAAAAATGGCCATCGAATCGACGAGAGAAAAGGCATTCGGGGTAGATGGGGGTGCGGCGATGTCGATAGATCCTCTGATCCAGCCGCTCGAAGAAGTTTGCCGCTCGATCGCCATCATTCAAGATCGAATGCTCGTTGAAAGTTTGCAAGAACGTCCCGCCGAAAACGAATTAACATTTTTGAGCGTCCTGGCCGAACCTTTGCTCGATCTTCAGAGGAGCATCGTAGTGTTGGAGGAACGCGTTATATCACCGGATGTTGAATCTTTGCCGCAAGAATTACCAAGACCCAATTGGTCGACAGCGGAATGCGTGGCGGTCGCGCCGTTGCACGAAATCGAAAAGTCGATAGCTGAAATTTGCGAATGCGTTACAACTATTCAAGCGGATACGGTTAAAGAAGATGAACAAAGTCAAATTAGCCCGCAAGACCGGATTGTCTTTGACAAATTGATAGAACCAGTCGAAGGTATCATAAGCAACATATTAAACGTCGGAGAGGAGATTTTACCAAAAGAAATGGCTCTCGAACGCAGGATCGAATATGAAGCTTTGAAGAAACTCGTCGAACCGCTCAAAGCTGTTTCCGCCAGCTTTTCTCTTTTACGAGACAAATCCGACTTAACAAAATCCGAAGAGGAAGCCAACATCGACGTCATCGTCGAATCTCTTTCTAACGTAGAAAGATGTATTTCTATCCTGGAGGAACAAGCAGTCGATAAGCCACTCGTTGAACCATTCTATGCTGCAGAAGTGGATAAAAGCGTAATAAGTGTCCTGAGATTGCCATTAATGGAATTAAAAGAGTCCATTTTAAAGGTTGACGATTCCTCTACTAAGTATCTTCAAAATTTAGAAAAACCATTAAAAAATCTCCATGCAGTTCTAGAAACAATGTCAACGGGTCAACAAAGTTTAATGGCAATTCATTCGGTAACTCAGCAAACGTTACCATCTATAGAAATGACAAGACTATCGATCAAATTAATAGATCTTATTGTCGGTATTAATGAGTCTGTTCAGAGTGTAGAAAATAGGATACAGGATCAAATTGGACAAACTAATATTGACAAATGTATTGAATGTAAAGAATTAAAAATGTTCAACGCGTCTCTTGAAGATTTGAAAAAATGTATTGTCAAAATTCAAGAAGAAGGAACAATCGAAAAAAGATCCATGTTGGAATCTCTTAATCAGATTCATGAATCTGTTGCTATCATCGAAAAGCAAAATTCTTCTAAATCAGATACACGATCCACAGACATTGAGGAGAAGCAAACCATTGGAATCCTTCAACTTTTATCTCCATGCTTATGTGATTTGGATACTACCGTTACAACCATTAAAGCAACGAAAGAAAAAGATGTGACGAACGATCACTTGCAGATATTAGAAAAACCTCTTGGCGATTTACTGAGTAATCTCAACGATCTACGCGATAAATTATTATTTGGTCAACTTTTATGGACGACTGATGAAAGAGTAGATACGTATGAAGAAAAGGATCGAACAGAATTGAAAGATCATGAAAATAAAGGGAAAGAAAAAGAAGAGCTACAGACCCAAATAGAAGAAGCTAAAGATTCGCAGCTGAAAGAAAAAGAGGATGAAAAATTAAAAAGTGAAAAAGAACGTAAGAAGCAAGTGGAAGTTGACAAATTAAAACGCGACGAGGAAGATCGTAAACAGCAAAAGGAAGCTGAAAAACTTAAGCAGGAGGACGAAGAACGTAAACGTGCCGAGGAAGATGAACGACTGAAACGAGAGGAAGAAGAACGTAGAAAGCAAGAAGAGGCTGAAAAGCTTAAGAGGGAGGATGAAGAACGTAAACTAAAGGAGGAAGGTGAACGATTGAAACGTGAAGAAGACGAACGTAAAAAGCAGGAAGAAGCAGAGAAACTGAAACAAGAGGAGAAAGAACGCAAACTAAAGGAGGAAAATGAAAAGTTGAAACGTGAAGAGGAAGAACGCAGAAAGCAGGAGGAGGAGGAGAAGGAGAAACATAAACGTGCGGAGGAAGCTGAACAACTGAAATGTGTAGAAGAAGAGCGTAAAAAGCAAGAAGAAGCTGAGAAACTTAAGAAGGAGGAGGAAGAACGTAAACTAAAGGAGGAAGCTGAACGACTGAAACGTGAAGAAGACGAGCGCAAAAAGCAAAAAGAAGCAGAGAAATTGAAACGTGAAGAAGAAGAACGTAGAAAGCAAGAAGAAGATGAACGATTGAAACGAGAAGAAGAAGAGCGTAGAAAGCAAGAAGAAGCTGAAAGACTAAAACGAGAAGAGGATGAACGTAAACGTGCCGAGGAAGCTGAACGACTGAAACGTGAAGAAGATGAACGCAAAAAGCAGGAAGAAGCAGAAAAACTGAAACAGGAGGAGGAAGAACGCAAACTAAAGGAGGAAGCTGAACGACTGAAACGTGAAGAAGACGAACGCAAAAAGCAGGAAGAAGCAGAAAAACTGAAACAGGAGGAGGAAGAACGCAAACTAAAGGAGGAGAATGAAAAACTGAAGCGTGAAGAAGAAGAACATAGAAAGCAAGAAGAAGCTAAAAGACTAAAACGGGAAGAAGAAGAACGTATAAAACAAGAGGAATCTGAGATATTGAAACGTGAAGAAGAGGAACGTAAGAAACAAGAGGAAGCTGAGAAACTTAAGATGGAGGAGGAAGAACGTAAACGTGCCGAGGAAGCTGAACGACTGAAACGGGAGGAGGAAGAACGGAAAAAGCAGGAAGAAGCGGAAAAACTGAAACAGGAGGAGGAAGAAAGCAAGCTAAAGGAAGAAAATGAAAAGTTGAAACGCGAAGAGGAAGAACGCAGAAAGCAACAGGAAATTGAAAAACTGAAACATGAAGAAGAAGAACGTAGAAAGCAAGAAGAAGCCGAACGACTTAAAAGGGAAGAGGATGAACGTAAACTTAAAGAGGAAACTGAGAAATTGAAACGCGAAGAAGAGGAACGTAAGAAACAAGAGGAAGCTGAACGACTTAAACGCGAAGAAGATGAGCGTAGAAAACAAGAAGAAGCTGAACGATTAAAACGGGAAGAAGAAGAACGTAAAAAACAAGAGGAAACTGAGAGATTGAAACGTGAAGAAGAAGAAGAACGTAAAAAACAAGAAGAAGCTGAACGACTTAAACGGGAAGAGGATGAACGTAAACTAAAAGAGGAAAATGAAAAACTGAAACGTGAAGAAGACGAACGTAGAAAGCAAGAAGAAGCTGAAAGACTAAAACGAGAAGACGATGAACGTAAACTAAAAGAGGAAAATGAAAAACTGAAGCGTGAAGAAGAAGAAGAACGTAAACAACGAGAGGAAGCTGAACGACTTAAACGGGAAGAAGAAGAACGTATAAAACAAGAGGAATGTGAGAAATTGAAACGTGAAGAAGAGGAACGTAAGAAACAAGAGGAAGCTGAACGACTTAAACATGAAGAAGTAGAACGTAAAAAGCAAGAGGAAACTGAGAAACTGAAACGCGAGGAAGAAGATCGTAGAAAGCAAGGGGAAGCTGAGAAATTGAAACTCGAGGAAGAAGAACGTAGAAAGCACGAGGAAGCTGAGAAACTGAAACAGGAGGAGGAAGAGGAACGTAAAAAGAAGAATGATGGTGAAAAACTGAAACGTGAGGAGGAAGAATGTAAAGCTAAGGTGGAAGTTGAAAAATTACAAGTTTCCGTCGAGGATTCCAAAGAGAAAGAAGAATTAAAAGAAGAAGGTGAGAAGAAACCTGTAAAGGATGATGACGTTTCTGGCCAAAAAAAGCACCCAAATGAACCACCTATATCAGTTAAAGTAAAAGACGAAGTGAAAGATGAAATGGAATCGAAGCAAATCGAAGGAGAAATAGAAGAAGATGCCGGAAGGACAAAGTTTAGCGAGGAACGAAAAAGAAGGCAGCAACGAATGAAAGAAGAAGAAGAAAGAATGAGACAAGAGGAAGAAGAAGAGAGAAAACTAGAGGAAGAGAGAAGACGTAAACGGAAAGAACGTAGGAGAAAAGAAGAGGAAGAGATGTTAAAACAGGAAGCAGCTGAAAGATTAAGAGTCGAAGAGGAACGTAGGAAAAGAAAAGAAGAAGCGGAGCAAAGCAGAAAAGATAGAGAAGAGAAAGTAAAGAAACAAGAGATGGAACGGTTGGAACGTAAGAGAGCCGAAGAACGCCAGAGAAAGGAAGATTTGGAAAGGATGAAAAGGAAAGAAGAAGAAAGAATAAATATACGAGAAAATGAGAGAAAAGCTAGACGCGAGGAAAATGCAAGATTGATGAAGGAAGAGGAGGATCGATTGAGACGGAGGCACGAGGAGGAATTGTCGTTGACAAATAAGAGACGACGAGAAAGAGCAAGGGACGATACGTGGTCGAGACTAAGAGAAAACGAATCTGATAGATTTTTCAATAGACGAAGTATAGATGAGGAATTAAGTAGAAGTAGCAGATCGTCTCATCGTTTTGATTCGGACTTACAATTAGAATCGACGCTTTCGGACACGTCTAGATCGCATAGTTGGAGAGAATCTCTCGCTTCCTCTGGAAAAAGAAGCATCGACGATTACATGGATTACAAATTACACGAGAGCTCGTTAAACAGATCTCTGTACGACGTTGGCTCTTATTATGGTACAAGAAGACGAAGAGAAGAACGCATTAACAGAGCAAGGTCGATCAGCTTGTTAAAATACGACGAGTATTATACGGGCGATATCGATAGTAACCTTTCTTACAGCTCAGCGAGTAAGCCTCCTAGATACGGTAGAATGAAAATCCCTTCTCACATCGAGTACGACGATCTTAATTCGAGTACTTTAGAGGTAATATATTTACTTATTCACCTTTTAATATATCTATCTATTCTAACGTATACGTTAATTAATTATATTAATAATTTTGAAATATGCAGAGTATCGTGCAAGATAAGGGAAAGAAACCATCGTTCTGTACGCGACTTACTAATAGAACGGTAGGCGAAGGTATGAGAACGAGATTAACCTGCACTGTTTTGGGACAACCCGAGCCGCGCGTTTATTGGAAAAAGGATGGCCAAGAGTTATCACCTTCCTCGAATAAACATCTAATTAAATTCGACAATGGCATGGCTTATTTTGAATTAAAAGAAGCTCTTGTCGAGGATTCCGGAGTGTATACCTGCATCGCGGAAAATATTCACGGATCCTCGTCTACCGAGTCAACTTTGAAAGTTTACAGAGACTTTGTCCAACCATTATCGCCACCGATGTTTACCAAATCCATTAAAGGTAGGTCCAAAGACTGCTGCTTTTCGCACCGCAACGTACCGCACAATATCGTCGTATTATATTTCGTTTCAGATACGTATCGATATTCTGATCATGAATTAGTATTAGAATGTCGAGTTCATGGATATCCGAGCCCTACGATTACCTGGTTGAAAGATGGAAAAGTCCTCGACGATGCAAGATATACGGAAAAGTATTTAGACGACGATATTTATCGATTGGAAATATCGAATCCTAATGCTTCGGACAGTGGACGTTACATTTGCAGAGCGACCAATGAAATCCAATCAAGCGAAATATCGCATATCGTACACTTCGAAGGTTAGCAAAGCAATTTTCTAAATTCTTCACGATTCACATTAGCGGATTGAAAAATAACGTAAGGATACCTTTTATTACCGTTGAAGGACGAGATCAAACGTCTACTCGTAGAGGTAGACATAATCGATTCATGGAGGATGAGACGAGTATCGAAGCGTCCAGGAGACCTCGCTTTTCGAATGTTTTGAGCGATCACAGTGTACCTACCGGTGGTACCATTGCTCTTCAAGTCGAAGTCAAAGGTACATTTGGCCCCGATCGAAATATATTTTTGATATTATTTGAAACATAGCAGGAGGTAGCAGGTAAAATTTTCATTTGAAATCTCCGTTGGATAGGAATGCCAGCACCGGAAGTGAGATGGTTGCACGGAGAACGAAAAGAGCCAATTTCCATATCAAAAGCAAAGACTTTCACCGAATCTGGCATTCATACTCTTATCGTACCGGAAGCAACAGAATCGGAAAGAGGTACCTACATTTGCAGGGCAGTTAACGCTTATGGATACGTCGACACAACTGCTACGATCGAAATAATATCTCCTAGCGCGATCGATGGTGGAAAACCTGCAATGTTCGTTTCCAGACCTTCGGAAAAATCCATTGCGGTGGCTATTGGGGAAGATGTCAGTGTATCTTTTAGAGTCACCGGTGTTCCGAAACCTCGAGGTAACGACAATACTCGTGTAAATCAAATTAGACATAACGAAAAAGGACTTGTTCACTACTGTGCTTTTCCTTAGTAACATGGATGAAAGGTTTAAAAGATATTACGGATGGTCCGCGATCGTACAAAGAAGTTATCGATGACTACGTTAGATTGACTTTGAAAAGAGCAGTACAAACCGACGAAGGTACTTATTGTATTTTGGTGAAGAACCGATACGGATGCGACAGAAGTTTCTTCTCGATCTGGGTGAGTAAATCCTATGTGCTTGAAGTTGACTGAAACAGTAAGAAGAAATAATATTTCTAATGATTAGATTAAACAAAGAGCGAGATCGTTAACACCGTTGCCCGACTGGAGTCGCTCTGATGCAGGAAGCATACAAAACGACGATGAATTGTCTTATATAAAAGGTAAGTTCAATCCAAAACATGTCCTCTCCTCTCTCTCTCTCTCTCTCTCTCTCTCTGTAAAATAAAATATTATTTTATTACGTAATTAATGTGAGAAAAAAGACGGAGAAATGAGCGACGGTAAGAATGATGGTACAAATGAATAATGAAATAATTATAATTAGAGTAGCGATATATGACACAGGGACAAGGATTACAGCGAGTACACTTGGCCCAAAATCGTTTGGCTTTAATCCAAGTAGTCCCTGGGCTAAAGTGTTTAGCAAAATGACGTCGATATTTAGGTTGACTGCTTATAAAACCAACGCATTGTACTATAATCTTTAAACTTCTTAAGTATCCACGTACGTGCTAGGTATATATCTGCAAACAAAAATTTAATTATTTATTTATGGATTAAATGCACCAAATGCATCATCAAATTTTCATAGCTTCTCGAAAATAGTATAATACCATTATTGGTATCTACGGGAAAATATATTTATCTCCGAAATTATTATGCATTAATATACTTGCAAGCAGTTTTAATTAAAGCGTGAGAAAAACTGTTTAATACAAAAGTAGTCGCGACTGTCATCATTTTTGCACGACCCTTGAATCGATGCCAGCTAGGCATAACAGCGGTTCCTTGACCAAATCTTCAACTATCTGCAAAGTATTAAATATCATAAATATATACATACGTAACAATAAATAACACAGTGTAACTGATTTATCATTCACGAAGGACGAACTAAATGACTTACATAGGAAGTTGGAATGGCTTCAGAATGTTTGATCATGAAGCCGTAACTTTTGTGATCCATTTATGGCACAGTTTGATCTTAAAAAAAACAACAACAACAACAACAACAAAATGCTGACAAGAGATGACGTTTTATAAATGTAATTATTATCGCAAACTTGATAGAATTAGGTGCGAGTAAGAAACGCCAACGATTAAAACAACAACAAAATGGTTGAAATATAAAACTGATATTACCACCTACGTATGCAATTTGAGGAACACTTCCCGTTAGGTTATTTTCGTTTACCTCCCTTACCCATTTCCTTACCCCTTCCTACTTCTCTCATTGCCAGAAATGTGAAATTCAGTCGGCATCGAGACTCGCGCGAACCGTCTTGTCTCTGCTCTACTACTTTTTTCTCGAAAAATACTAAATCGAAATGTGACAATAAATGCACAAATAATGAAGAATCAAGATAAAAAAATCGTTTCGAACGATGACCTCGAATTACCGAGTTCTCGTTTGAAACGATCTTTGGCCAACGATGATAGTTTGATCAGCGACTTCATAGAATATTTATTCGGACATCGAGGTAGTAAAGTCACTCGTTGGAAAGGATCATTTTCAAAAAAATCCTACGATTTAGAAATATTTGTACGGCAGATGTTCCTGGACCAATCAGCAGCGAACCAATAGTCGTTGATGGAGGAAGAAATTGGTTGTCCTTGAGTTGGGCCAAGGCAGAAAGGAAAGGACCAGCACCAGTAATCGCCTACAAGGTAGACGCATGGTTGATGGGTGGAGAAGGCGGTGCTCGTTGGGCCGAGGTATAACACGATAATTGGATACTTACGTTAACTGTAACAACCGTTTATCCAATGTAGTTGCGTTGCTTTATTCTTTGATCATTTTGCAAATTGTAGCTGGGCATCACGCCGATCAACGCCTTTGACGCGTTCAATCTTCGCCCAGGTGGAGAATACAAATTTCGCGTAACGCCACGTAATCGATATGGATGGGGCGAATCTGTTACGATGTCTAGTTCGGTCACGGTCACCGAAGTCCTCGATCTTCCAGAATTCACGAAAATTCTGCCCGGTCAGCTGAAGGCTCTTCAAGACACGACGATCAAATTGGAATGCGAAGTGAGACTTTTCCGAACATAACTATTACAATAGAGTTTCTTTACTTCCTTTGATATTTCATTTGAATTTGTATGGATTTTAGATTCGCACTGATTCCAATATCAATATCAAATGGTATCGCGAAACAACCGAGATCGATCCTAACAACGACTCAAGATATTCCATCGGTAGGAAAGGTTTAAGGTGCTCTCTTACGATAGAAAATATAAAAGAAGATGATTCCGGTAGATACATTTGCGAGGCATCGAATAAAATTGGTAAAGTGTCGTCTTTCGCTAGAGTCTTCGTAGTCACCGATCCAAAGATTATCGAAGCGGATGAAAAACTAAGATCTAGGTATTATTCGTACATATTTCTATTTATTTGAAAGCAACTTTAAAACGCCACGATTTTTTCTAATATTAGAATTTTGGGAGATGAACGAGAAGAAAGGCCACCACAATTTGCCATGAGATTACGAGATAGGCGGGTTCAAGTGACTTATCCTGTACGCTTAACGTGTCAAATTATGGGTTTACCTAGTCCCGAGATCATTTGGTTCAAAAATGGGGTGGAAATTTGTCAAGATGGTAAGTTAAAGCACTGCTCGATTAATATTTATATATTTAATAGCTACGTATATCTTGATTTGTTTTTTTGTTTTTTTTTTTTGTTTTTTTCAGAACGTCACGTCTTGTGGGACGACGAATCGAACTTTCACACTTTAGAAATAATTCATTCGACCCTCGAAGACTCCGGATGTTACATGGTAACTGCCAAAAATATCCATGGTTCAGTGTCTTGTCGATCCGTCCTCGTAGTCGATAAAGGAATTCGTGCTTACGTTGCTCCAGAATTTCTTTATGGCTTGGATGCAGCTTATAACGTTAAATTAAATGACGAATTACGAATGTCGGCTCAGATCGAAGCTTATCCTAGCGTGGGCGTAGTATGGTGAGCTAACAAATATCTAACATTTTGATAATCCTTCTTTCTATTATATAATATCGTTGTTTTCATTTGAAAACAGGCATCGCGATGGTTTGCGTCTACGACCTAGTAGAAGAACTATCATGACTTTAAGCCACGACGGTACCGTCGAATTATCTTTGGCAAAAGTTAGCAGCAGGGATGCTGGTGTTTACAGTTGTACCGCGATCAATGAAGTTGGCCGTGCTGAAACATCCACGCGGGTCAACGTTATCGTCGACTCCGATGAACCGAACGACGAGCAAATGCAATCTCTTTCCGAAGGATTGCCAACGGTGACGATAGCTTCTCCCGATGTGCCGTGCGTACAAAATTACAAAAAATCTACAAAAAATGTACAAAAAACTAATATTCCTCTATCGCATGATTTAGCAGATATTCAAAGGAACCGCTATTTGTCACGAAACCTTTATCAACCGAAGCTCTCGAAGGAGACACGGTCATTATACTTTGCGAAGTCGTTGGAGATCCTAAACCGGAAGTTATCTGGTTGCGTGACTTCCTTAAGGTAATTATTTTCTTTCTATATTTTCTATTCAGGCATAGGTTAATTAAAAGATCCGAATTTGCAAGTTAGACGGGGGCAGGTAGCAGGGTACGAAGAATAAGTTGCAAAGTTCATTGTGCAATTCCAGAAAATGACGTGTCCCCCTAATGCTGCTTCGGTCACGATGTAGGTCAAGGTGGTAGCAAAAAAGAAATGATAGTGTTACATACCGCATTATGCCCATAGCGAGTCAGGTATTATATGCGTCGGGGGAAACGGCATTTATTTCACGTCACCTCTTTAAAAGGTAACAGTACGTGCTACGCGAGATTAAATGAGGGGCCCAAAGATGGAACGGAGAAAGAGAGAAATGCGAACTGCCAAAAAGTGGTCCTTTGAGGAATATCAAAAGAATGATGGAACATAGGAGTGTGTAATCGGAACGATGCATTCGTCGTCGTTCGAAATCCTTTTACGATGAAATTTCATTTCCCCTCGGCAAAGAGATACACAAATGGACTCAGGCGTGGGTGTTAATGTTAATAAAAAGTCAAGGGGAATACAAATTAGGCATATCGAAAGTATTATTCGTGACGTAGAACCTAGATGCAGGTATAATCATTTTCATGGTAACGTTTGCTTTGACGTTGTTCCGTTCGGACGGAAAAGAACCGAAGGGAAAGGGGAAGAAAACGATGCTGCATCTTTAGTGTATTTACGTCAAACGAATATTTGCATAATCGAGAAGTGTGTAAGTACTTACTTACTTACTTACCTAGAAGGCGTCGTCCCCACTTTTCGTCGACCAACTTGGCTTTCTTCGCCGATGGATCGGTACCGCGAAGTACGAACGGTAAAACAGTCGGTGTGTAACTTTGGCGAATGAATAGCCTTCTTTCTGTCGATCGTCGTCGTTCTTGTCATCGTTCTTGTCCTCTTCCTATACTTCTCAATATATATATAGAACTTAGACTAATTATTGGCATTCTTTGTCATTCGAACAGTGAGAAAAGTGAGTAGAAATAAGCCATACGTTATTTCATTCCGGAAGCATCCGATGCTTTCCTATATGGAATTTTGTATAAACAAATGTGAGCGATAAATCTTAGCCGATGTGCATGTGCAGCTTCTAAATGATTGACTTTCTTATTTCAAAAGCACGTATGTAGGCACATAAATAAATATAATACTATGTATAATATTCAAGAACAGTACTAAAATGTGCATAATTTGTTTCTAACTCTCATTGACAGAGTCAGAACTTTGGAACAATTGTCTGTAAAAGACGATAAATAGAATAATTTTCGATTAGAAGTGGAAAAACGATGGATTATTGACGTACGTCAGGACAAGTTCCCAGTCGTAATGAGTCATTCTCATTCTCAGGGCTTTTCATCGGTTCTCTTAAGGATATTCCTCCAACGAACGAATCTATTTACTCCGAGGAAAACTTGGCCGAGTCTTTTGAGTTAATCTTTCGCGTAGTAACTGCGCGAACGTGCGAAGCATCAAGCCAAGCCACCAAATACATACATACGTTCAACGAGCACTCCTTTTTAGCTAACGACTATGTTAATGCTGCAAACGTTACAACTAACTCCTTTCTTAATCTCTCCTAATTATAACCGATTAGATTATCCATATTCCCAATGAAACGATAGCAATTGGAAAATCTGTGTACCATCTAATCGTGGAATGGTAATAGGAAGGCGAATCAAAGTTTCGATCTATTGCACCGATATACCTGTTTTTAATGCTCTATAGAATGTCCTTGCACTAACCAGTTTATGGCGTCTCTCTTCCGTAACGGGAAGTGTCGTCCGCATAAATTTCATCGTAGGCGCGTTGGTGCGCGTTGGTGCACGATAGACGACAGGTGGAAGACAGATGGGTCTCGGAAGGTCCATTATGTCAAGAATCAGCTCGCGTTAGAAAACTTGAAAACTTCATTTATCGCAATGAGATACGATTGATCGATACACTTTTCCTTACGAAATAACATCAACGCCGCATTGACACCTTGTCTCTTCTTCTTCTTCTTCTTCTTTCTTTTTTGTAATATTTCCCTGAAACGACGTACGTAAATTGAAGAAGAAGATAATTATTAATAGGAGAAAACAATAAATATTCAGTTGTTGGCACTTGTGTCTGTCATACGCATAACAAGATCAGTCTCGAACGATTCGATCGACTTTCGCTCCCTATATGGGCTAGAGTTTCAACGAGAAGACTACTGTCGTCTCTTTTTCTCCATCTTTTTCTTCTTCGTCATCTCTTGAAACATCTCACGCTGAGTTTGAACCCCATGTAGCTTTAAAAAAGTGACAACTATAGGCCATCTAAATCGTACGCGTCCTATATTATTATAATACGAAACGTTTACGAAAAAGAGTTGTGCTATTAAAACACGTTGCTTCTTTTTGAGCGTAGGCGTGGGAATCGCGGAAACGCCTTGGTATCTAGGTCGAGGTCGATGTTCGAGGTCAGCCGTGCTTCTCTTTTTCGTTAACATGCGAGCGTGCGAGCGTGCGTGCGAGCGTGCGTGCGAGCGTGCGTGCGACGTGCCTACATATTTATGTAAATATGTATTATATATGCGCCCAAGCGAAAGTCAATCTTATTTTTGAACCAAACTACCAAACTACCAAAACTATCAAAATTTGTTTTGCAGCCCGATTACTACAGAGACGCGCCTCATTTTCGACTGGTGGGTAAAGGTCCTCAATACAGATTGGAAATACCTTACGCGAAACTTGATTTTACCGGAACGTATTCGGTCATTGCTCGAAATTGTCATGGAGAAGCAAAAGCCGTAATCTCTTTACAAATCTATGCTAAAGGTTAGACAAATTGCAAAAAAAAAAAAAGAAATAAATAAATACTTAATATAATAAATTGTATATTATAATTAGACGAATTTACATTTTGTTTGTAGGCCAAGGTAAAGAGACGACGATGAAAAAATCGGCAATAACGCACGGGTCAGTATCGCGTTATACATTTCGTTGACGTTTTGACGTTCACGTTGGACCTCTTCTTTTGCAGGAAGGTGCTCACCTTGCCTATGGTAACCAGGGAACTCCGAGATATAAGATGTTGCGACGGCGACGCTGTAACTTTGGAGTGTAAATTTCTTGCCACGCCAGAACAACCAAACGTTCGTTGGGAAAAGGGCGGAAAGGTAACTGTTTTTCCATCTATTTGTTCGAACAATATTAGCAATGTAGATATAAAGAGGGCAAAGTCGTTGCTTACTTGTAGATAATAACCGTGGGAAACGATTTTACGAGTGAATTCGACGGCGAAATAGCACGACTGAGCATCCAACACGTTTATCCCGAGGACGAGGGGGAGTACACGTGTGTCGCTTACAACGAACTTGGAAAAGCATTCACGTCGGCTTGCATAGTTGTCGATGGTAATTTAATCTTATACTTTTGTATCAATTTGGATAATAGGTTTGAATTGTTTGTCAATTGGCAGTACCGGAAGGCAAAGAAAACGTACTAAGCGAAAGATTAACGCGACCGGTTGGCCTACTATCGGCTGGATCAACGCCAAGATCGACTCCACGATCGACGCCTATCAGAAGTTTATCTCCTGCGGTTTCTCGTAAGTTCTACCTACAACAAATCCGTTAACTTTTTCATAGAAATGAGATCATTTCCCGTGGATTTAGATGGCCGCGAACTAAGGTCTCCTCAACTTCCACCGCGATGCGGTGGTTCGTCGACGATAAAACGAACAAAAATTAGTCCACCGAAATTTTATTCCGTACCGCACAATCGAGTTGTCGAAGAAGGTGAAACCGTACGTTTCCAATGTGCGGTTGTCGGTCATCCGACGCCCTGGTTGAAGTGGGACAAAAACGGAATCGTTGTCACACCGACCACGAGAATTTCTATCGTGGAAAAAGACGACGTCAAGATCCTAGAAATCGGCGAGGTCACGCAAGAGGATGCTGGACTTTATCGAGTTACATTGGAAAACGATTTTGGTAGAATCGAGGCTAGCGCACGACTCGAAGTGATAAGTAAGCAATGTCAAATAGAAAATAGAAAATTCATTCATTAGGAATTATTTCATTTTGTTTGAAAATGTTTGCAATTGTTTGAAAAGGTCGGCATGGATCTTATGGGCGAACGATAAGAACTAGAAGTGCATCCCCCAGAACTTATCCTTATTTTTCTCGAAATCTTCTGGACACAACTACGAGAACGGACGGTCGTCTTCGACTGCAATGCGGCCTAAGAGGAACTCCTAGTCCAACGCCTACGTGGTACAGGTAATAGACGAACTTTTCTTAATACGAATACAAATTGAGACATGTTCGTATTTTTTTAGGAATGGACGACCTTTGACCCGTTCAAATAGAATAAAAAGACACTTTGATGGTAAAATAGCAAAGATCGAAATTTGTAAGGTAAAAGCGAGCGACGCGGGCGAATACAGCTGCGTGGCAACGAACGTCCTTGGCTCTGCGAGAAACACTTGTCAGGTGAATATTATAGACTTGTCAAAATTACCTTCTTTTTGAAGTGAAAACTTCCTTTGTGGTGGCAAATGAAAACGAAGAAACTCGAATTCGAGGCTTTTTAACGAGGCTTGTTTACGAGACTCTTCTACGAGGCATAATTAAATACACCCTACGGACTTATTCACGGACTTATCGGAAATTCACTACTTTTCACTTCTAACACGTGTGTGATCTGCCCACATGATATTTTTTTTCTTCTACTTTCTCTTTTTCGACTTGTCGACATTTACAGGTAACCGTACTTGACCCAAACGACTCTTCAACTTTGGACAAAGAGTTGCCTAAATTTGTGCAATCTCTTCCCAAAGAATCGATCGTCATGGAAGGAAATTCTTTCGAACTTCGTACTAGACTTACTGGTAAAAATAATAAATATCCTTTTAATAATACCATTTGGCCTTTCTCTCTTTTCTTTTTTACTTTCATTTCGATTCACATAGATTTATTCTTTCAGGCACTCCCCCATTCTCGATCCATTGGTTGAAAGATAAACGCGAAATTGCTGACGATGACAACCATCATTACGTTTTATATAACGACGGTGGAATCGCTCTCAGACTCTCTGATGTCCATCCAGAAGACGCTGGAGAGTATGCTTGCATCGTTCGAAATGAATTTGGGGAAATTTCTTGTAGCGGTCTCCTTGCCGTCCAAGGTATTCATATCGTTGAAAAAGTGATACCTATCTATGCATTATTTTATATTCAATTATATTCATCATTTACAGATTATAAGAAGACTATTGGAAATCTCGCGCCACGATTTAGCAAAACGCCGCTAACTCAAATCGTAGCAAAAGGCGAGACCGCGTGTTTCTGTGTACGAGTACAGTGCGACAAGCCAATGGATTTCTTCTGGACTATTAATGGAAAAGACGTTAGGGATAATGCTAGATGCAAGGTATGTATTGGTCAATAGTCGAAACGAAAAAATTGTTATAGTTTTACAACGTGAATGTTACATAGGTCGACAAAGACGGAAATGTCTGCATTTTAAAAGTACACGAGGTCTGCCCACGAGACGCGGGGGAAATTCGTTGTACGGCTACTGTCCTGGGCAATGGTCCGTCGATATGCTGTACAACAGAATTGCAATTGAATCGAGGCTCGTATACATTCGAAAATTGTACATCATCAAATTTGAAAAAAGAACGGACGATGTCTCACAACCGTGAAAAATCGCCATCGCCATCGCCGTCACCGTCACCGTCGTTTCGTCGTAACCCACTTTCGAGCTCTTTTAGAAGATCGAAAAAAGAACAACACATAAGAATGTCGACGACTGACAAATTTCAACGTGCAAGATCGTCTTCGCTTCCTTTAAGAAAAAAAGCATCCAGTCCTAAAGAACTTTCTCCATTAGCAAAGAAGAAAAATGTACTTCTTCCAATGGATCAAAGCAATCTCTCGAATAAGCAGAAAAACGAACCCGATGTAATAGATTTAATACCATCTATGTGCACGGAACGATCTCTATTAACGTCAAGTCCGGACAAGGAATATATCAAAGATGATGACGAATCGTCCAATCAATTGGACAAATTTGTAGCAGCTACGATCGTAAAAGCACCTGCCGATGTAACAGTTTTCAGAGGTAACGAGCTCGTACTCGATATTACCTACCGTGGCGATCCCGAGCCCTTGGTCAAATGGTTCCGTGCGGTAAGTAACAATACATTTCATAAGTTCACTCACACATATTTCACTTATTTATTTTCATTAGGATTTATGAATAACTGCGTCAATGACCTTATGAAATGATCATTAAAGACTCAGTCATCTTACAGCAAACGATATTCGAGATCCCCTTCTCTCATATTCTTTTATAGAAACCGCCGTGACGCAACGCGTACGACGACTACGACGACGACGACGACGTTCGGAGCTCGAAACACAGTATTCTCGCGATCGTTGACAAAACATGCGTGCTTCCTAAACCTTGAGAACAACGCATTTTTTTACATTCTTATCGCACTTTTTCCACTCGGTTTCATTTAACACTCCCTGTAAAATGATCGTAGCAGAGAACCAATTTCTCTTCTGACAGAATACAATAGAACAAATTATTTTCAATTTTATCTTTGTCTATTGTTCAAGGGTCGACAATTAACATCCGAAGAGAACATTAAAATTACTTATGGTGCTGGTGTCTCTTATTTAACGTTGAATAATATAACGGCGGATCATGCTGGAAAATATGAAGTATCGGTTGAAAATTTATTAGCGAGGGATCGACAATTTTTTAGTCTCGCTGTTGAAGGCAAGTATCTATCATATATGTATAAATAGTTTGTATTTATATATATACTATAAAGATGAAAAAACAACTTTTAACTATAAGGTAAACGTAGAAAATTCCATGCCATTCCATCCAATCTAACGACCATTCGATTTCTCGTCTTTCAAATAAATAAATCTTAAGATTTATAATTCAACGAAAGATGTAATCCAGATCGAAATTCTAATTAATTTAGAATCCCTACATATACAGGTATATACGGAACGAATGTTATCAAGCGAGATTTGTACGTCTGCTTTGTAAATACACGCGAGCAAATGTTTACGAAAGAAACCGTCTTACATCATTCCTACTTAACTGGCACATCGTCTCGAAATTATTAACTTGCACATTGTTCGAAAAATTTGCGTGTGTTTATTTAAATAAAGATATTTAAAAAATCACGGCAGACAATCTATGAAATTTAACTCGAGGATCAGTCGTTTATGTTATGTTACGTTAATGTTACGTCAGAGATTTTGTTTAGATTAACGGGGAAAAAAGAAAGATTCGATCAGGAAAAAGATGAAATGTTCCAAAACGAGTAACCCGAGGATTGACGAGACTCACTTTACACGGTCTAGTTCCTTTTCTCGCGTACAAGGCGGACGACAATCTCACGTGACGAGTCGCGCAATTATTTCTCTACCATTTTCAACGTGAAGTTACACCACTCACCATGCTTTCTCTCTCTCTTTTCCTCTTCCTCTTCCTCCTCCCTCTCTCGTAAAATCTTCTTTTTCCCTCAAAAGACGTCTCAGTAGACATCCATTTACACCGAACACTTGTATACTGCTCTTTCTCTCTCTCTCTCTCTCTCTCACTTGCTCTCTACTAGACCAGTCAATATTTATCGCTTCGACATAATGAAACGTGTTCTTCGATTTTACTTACTTTACTTTGACTGAATGGCACATTAATAACGTTTCAAGTTCAATATTTTCTATCTACGAAGACAATAAAACAATGGAATTGGGTAATATACGACGTTGATATCGCTGTTATGACATAGCACACAATATCAGTCAAAAATAATATATAATTATGTCAATACACATTTCACAATCACTAAAGTTTTGATTGACTAATAAAGTTGGGTGTTCCCCACCCAAACATATTGATGTTCGTCGTGATTTGTTCTGGCGTTGCTTCGATAATAACATGTAATTTGAATTATAGGACCACCAGATCCACCGGCAGGTATTCCAAGCGTTACAAGTTCGAATAATTCGGTAACAATTACCTGGAGTTCACCGGCTTACGACGGTGGCTGTACAGTAACCGGTTATACTATCGAGATGAACCGAGCAGAAGAAAATTCGTGGACAGTTATCGGTGAATCATGTCATTCTCTGAGTCACACAGTGGTCCCATCGTCAAAGAATTCAATCGTCGCTGGTGAAAGCTACCGTTTCAGGATCAGGGGAGAAAATATTCATGGAGTCGGTGAACCCAGTGTTGAATCCGAGTTCATTAGAATGCCTGAAGAAGGAGAAACGATTATACAAAAGGAGGAAGAGGAAGGTAATGAAAAATATTGAAATATTTCCTCCTTAAACTAAGACCTATTCTTCATTGCTTACAATAGATAATATTTCTTTGCAGAGTTCTCAGCAGCTTTCGAAGCACGCACGGTTCATGCAGAGGACTCGCAATTATTCGTCGATAGATATGACGTCTTCGAGGAATTAGGTAAAGGTCGCTATGGCGTAGTAAAAAGGGTCGTCGAAAAATCATCGAATGCAAGTTTCGCCGCGAAATTCGTTCGAACGATCAAAAGCAAGGATCGTGAACAAGTACGCGAGGAAATTAATATTATGAATATGCTCAGACATCCGAAGCTTCTTCTTCTAGCAGCTGCGTTCGAAGGTCCTCGAGAAACAATAATGATCACTGAATAGTAAGTATTATATAGTACTTGCTTTTGGTCTTCATATTTATTAATATCGTTTATCGTTGTTCCAACGAACAGTATTTCCGGTGGTGAGCTTTTCGAGCGAGTGGTAGCAGATGACTTTACTTTAACCGAACTGGACAGCATACTTTTTATGAGACAGATTTGCGAGGGGGTTGAATACATGCACGAAAATAATGTCGTACATTTGGACCTGAAGGTAAGAGAAAGAGAAATCAATTCCGATTCCGATTTAGGAAAAGGGAATACGCGCGAAAGGGGAAGAAATATTTGCTAATAAAAACCCGTTTACAGCCGGAAAACATAATGTGTCGAACGCGAACTTCGCATCAAATCAAGCTTATCGATTTCGGATTAGCGCAAACCCTTAAACCAGACACACCGATCAGAGTTTTGTTCGGTACACCAGAGTTCATACCACCTGAAATTATAAGTTACGAACCGATCGGAACCGAGTCGGATATGTGGAGCGTTGGTGTCATCTGTTATGTACTGTAAGTGTTTCCAGTCAAAATATAGCTAATATATCATCTGGACATATATTGTCCTATTAAATATGTTTGCTAATTCAGATTAACCGGACTATCACCGTTTATGGGGGATAACGATGCCGAGACCTTTGCAAACATAACGAGAGCAGATTATGATCTAGATCACGAAGCTTTCGATGCTATTTCTAGTAATGCTAAAGACTTTATCACTGGTTTGCTCGTTAAGAGAAAAGAGTAAGTATTAATATATTGGCAATAGTAGCATCATCAAATAATATTTCAATGTTCGATATTCGATTACTTCGTAGATCGCGTATGTCGGCAAAGCAATGTCTAGAACATCCGTGGATGGTTCAACATACTGAAAATATGAGTAGAGTGGCATTACCGACAGACAAGCTAAAGAAATTTATCGTACGTAGAAAGTGGCAGGTAAATATTACTCCTTATATTTGACATATTTCTGATATTTTCTCATTTTTGCCTTAATGACAATCCTAACGATATCAAAAAAAAAAAAAAAAAAAAATAATAATACATCTTTTATACAGAAATTGAAAGATTGTTATACGTTAAATTGGAAAGTTTGGCAAATAGCATGTGCATGATGTATTGAAGAAACTGCAAGTTTGTTTTTATACATAATAGAGTGCATAAAAGCGAGTTAAAAACACGCTTTTAGATTTCATTTATTTTATAATACCGTAATGTTTTTTAATCTCTTCCTCTCGTGCTATTAAATTCACAAGGAGTGTGTGAGTATTGTATGTGTTTTGCGTGTGTGTGCACGCTTTCGTTTGTTCCAATAGAAAACAGGAAATGCCATTCGTGCACTAGGAAGAATGGCAATTCTTTCGGCGAACAGTAGAAAAAGTCCAACGACGACGACAGCTGAGTGTTTGAATACGAAACCTGTAAACTCTTTCACGAGTACGAATAGAAGAAACGATTCTGATGATACGATGATCGAGTTAGAAGAAAATTCCAACGAATTCGTAGGAACCAGACGAAAGAGTAGTCTCTATTCGTTTTGTTACAAAACGGAAGTCAATATCTCTTTGGAAGAAGAATCGGACGGCAAAGCAGCCAAAGACGAAGGAAAAGACGAAGGAAAAGACGAAGTAAAAGATGAAGAAAGCAAATTATCCGAAATCGATCGAGATTACGTATCCGATAAATCTGAAAATCAACGACGAGTCTTTCGAGGTGACTCGCGTGATTCCGGAATTGGCGATTGCATTACAAATTTAGCGACTTCGTCGTTGCAATTAGACGAGTTGGGAATCGTTTCAATCATCGAAGAAGAAACGGACAATGAGAGTAGTTCAAAATCTTTGAGATATGATACAGGGAGTACCGAGGCTACCTCGCAAAATAGCCCAATTAAGGCTTCGCGTGAGACTAATCACGTTCACGAAGGTCTGTAGCTATTCTAACAATTATTATTTCACAATTATTGCTTTCTTTTTTTAATCTTAAGCCTACATTTCATCCATTCTTTTCGTCGCATAACTAAAAGTAAACTAACTACGTAATGAAATGTTGGTTTGGTTCGATAGATACCTTTGAAAATCAGGATGCAAGGATGATCGTTGTTCGAAATCGAGACAAATTCGTGCCTACGGGGAATGTTAGTCGTCGAGCAAAGATGTTTGAACAGGAAGCAGCGGGCTTAAAATCATCGCCAACGTCGCAAATTCAAATCGTACATCGGCCGTATCCAGCAGCAACAATGGCAAATGGTAAACCGCACAACGAAAGGATACAACGAGTCTTTGCTTTTTGGAATAAATAAAGAGTCTTTTTTAGTTTTGTTTTTCTATTCCGACAAACTAGCAACACCGTATTTAAATTTCTTTTTCATTTCATCGCTCACTCGCACGCGAAAGCATACAATTATAATCGAATAGAAATTTAATAAGAAAAACAATCATAGAAAATCTATCGTGTCTATATAATGTTAGTGTAGATACTTACAATTAGTGACAAATAAAATGTACACGAGTATTGTTATAATCAGAGATATTATTGCCTTAACGTATCATTTTCCATTCATTTTCGAACGATCAACAAAATTCTCTTTATTGTGCTGTCATTCTGTTATATAAGACAGATTTAGATCAAATTTCACTTTTTATCTGACTCAAAAGAAAAAGAAACAAATTCATTTTAACAACCATGAAATACTTAAAAAAAGATCTTGTAATTTAAAAAAGCATGCTAAATAATGAAAATAAATCGTAATAAGACCTTGAGGGAAAAAAGTTAAAGGAAAATAATATTGTTGTCAGGCGCTCGTCGGTATTCGAGATACCGTCTTGTTTACAGTTCGACGGTTAAGCTGTAACTGTTTTCGTGTGTTTACATCAAGAGGAATAGAACCTATACGTATTGAGGATAAAAGAAGGGATAATCCTTGTTTTATTTGAACAACGGTGACATTTGCTTCTACGAATTGATTCTTTTGTCAAATAAATCTCAATGCTTTTTTAAATTGTAATTATAAAACATGATCTTCTTATCTATCTATCGTGATCTGTATATCGAAAAAGAAATCGCTTGCAAATATATATATATATATATTAATTTATAATATATTATATTCGTAAATGATAATTAATAATAATAATATATGAACCATAGAATATTACCGTATCCCGCCGTATGATTAAAATATTTTTCATTTTTTAAGCATGTTTTTTAATCATTTCTGCTAACTCATCTTTGAATGGACAATTTACCATATCTTTTATTTCCAAATAAGTAAGAGTATCTTTACTTACAGGTGTCCAGGTAGTATTAACATATTCATTCAACGATGACGTTGGATTCCTAAAAGAAAAAGTATAATTGTAAACATTATAAAATATAATCTATATTTAAACAATACACACAAATAGGTGACTATATAATTAAAATTATAAATGAAAAAGTTTACCCAGTTTTGGCAAAATTAGTCCATAAATACGTAAGTCGTTCGATCATATCCCTATCTTTAGTTCCTTTCGCTGGTGGTAAAGGATTTGTAACTTTGCAAAATGGTAAATAAAAGAGATAAGATAATTCATCGGCGTGAGATGCACCTAAAGATGAAATATTTCTCTTCTGTAGATTACTTGAAGAAATATGATTAGGAAAAAAAAGATATTAATTAAGATATTCATTAAATAAGGTAAAAAATGTACCCTTTGGATAGTAACGTAAGTTTTCCGATCGTATTTCATTTTGTCTTAATAATTGATTAATTGTCGTTTCTTCGCCAACATAAGAAAATTTATACAGATATGTCGGTGCACACTTTCTCTTTCTACGATCATCGGCTATGTTATTGATTGGATGACAAAAATATATATCGCTCATAACATTGATCAAAGACGGAATATCTTCCTTGCTTATTGGTTTATCGTTTCCAAAATAATGATTTCTCACATCTTTCATTAATCGTTCAATTTTCTCTGGCTCCTTTGAGATTGCTAATTGTTCAATATTATATCTCATTTTTTGATCCATTTTTTTCAAATCCTCGTCGCTATTTTCTAAACCGAAGGAATAAAAAAAGATTTGAACATTTCGTCCATAAGTCGTAAACACGATGGAAAAGAATATGTGGATAAAGAAAATTACATAAGAATTTGAAACAATTTGTGCTTACTTTTTAAGAACATTATAAACTCATTATTCGTATATCCGATCAACATCGGTATATCAGCGTCGTTTTTCAAGAGTTCGTTAAGCGGACGAGGGAGAAATGGATTTTTGGATTTGGCATCGATAACAGGTCCAGCCGGTATATCATTGACATTCTTTTTTTTTTATTAATTCATTAATCATTTTTCTTTCATTAATGTTTTGAGAAATATAATATTGAAATACTAATTGTGTTTGAAATAGTGTTTTAAACATACCTCAGTCATGTAGAACTGTGCCCTTATAAGTTCCTCAGCTGGAACCGTTCGAAGAAATTCAACGACTTTTTTAGGATCCTTCGAATCGCAGAAATCAAGCATTTGTCCAAGTTTAATGCAATTTTCTGGCTTACTTAATCCTATACTCCAAGGACATGTCGCTACTCCGCTTGCACATATAGCCTTGTGAAAAAGACCTACAATTGAATAATTAATTAAGGCAAGTTATAAAGTCAAGCAAAAAACACAGTACCTTTTGCCATAGGCGATATTGTTAATAAATGAACGCATGCTGCACCAGCGCTATTTCCAAATATCGTTACATTATTAGCATTTCCTCCAAAATGAGAGATATTTTCTTGGACCCACTTTAATGCTGCCACTTGATCTTTTAAACCTTGATTACCAGCTGCGACCTCATCATCCAAGTTGAAAAATCCTTTTTCAAATGTTCAACAAAATTGTACATTTATTAATCGTTATATCATTTATTTTCAACTATCAATCTTGACTATTGTTCAATGAAATGAAAAATAAAGAAATACGCGTAAGAATGTCTTGTACCTAAAACTCCTAATCTGTAATTAATAGTCACGAAAACAATGTTTTTGTTCATAAAATAGTCTGGTTTATTAAATTTATCGGTGCCAGAACCTTGAACAAATCCACCTCCATGGATAAAAACTATAACAGCTTTATTGTCCGTGAATGAATTCGTGTAAACGTTGAGATAAAGAGAATCTTCGCTACCGATAATATTGTTTGGTAACATTTCATTCAGCTGTACACAAAAATTCACCTCTACATTTCCAGCATCTCTTACACCAGTCCATGAAGCAGGAGGTTCTGGATCCTAACACCCATTCAAAATGGAATTCATTTTAAAGTCATTTAAATGCTACCAAAAATGCACTGTCATATCAGCATACAATCATACATACATAAATAAACAATGAAATACCTTGAATCGTAATGGACCAAGAGGAGGAGCGGCAAAAGGTATTCCTTTGAAACTATAATAAGATGTCCCTAAAACGCTTTCGCACAAATAACCCTTCAATTGTCCCTGACGTACGTTTACTATAATTGACATTTTCGTATTGTAGTACTTATCAAGCTACTTCGAAGTTATCTAATACTAAAGAAAACCTACAATCACGTATATATCAGTTTTTTTTTTTTTTATACTTATCTAAAGATAAAGTCATTAAAAATAAATAAGATAAAATATTTTTAAAGAAAATTTTTAGTTACATAATCAAGAATGAAAAACATGTAACGAAGCGTACAAATTTTTTTTCATCATTTTTTTTCTAGTTTAATGCATAAATCAAAAAATTATTACACAATAATTAATTTAAACTAAAGGAGATAATTTTGTAGCAAAATATGAATGCTAGTCAAAGTATTAAAATATCGGCTTGTAGTCTTTTCAACATTATGAAGATTTGAATTACTTACGTGCACAGTTTTCAGTTACACATTGGAAAAGAGTTTGATTATCGTAACGAAATCTTTCAAATTGAAACATTAAATCGGTCGGAGATGTAAACAAGCCAATAACTCCATCTGTTCTTGCAGTTAGTATTATTGAGCACATTTTGATTTCTAAACATCTATGAGCGAACGTTACTGCGACCGGCGTGGCAACGTTATAATATATATACGAAATATATAGTATTTCTGTTATATTCTTCGTAGCATTAATTTGGTCAATTTGGTCAATTTGGTCAATTTGGTCAATATATATTACATACAATACAACTATAGAAAATACTTAACCAACTATATTTTTTGTCGAGACATGAATAATGTTTTAGTTTCTATAAAACAATATAAAATATGTTATAGTCGTAACAATTCGAAACAATATTGTTTCGAAAAGCACATGTATTGTAAAAAGAGTAAGTAAAATTATGATATTTCTGGGAGATTTAATTTTGTTCATTTTTAGTACCGTTAACGTTTCATTTTATCAAGAATAGGTACGACCATGTCAAATGAGGGACGTTTCCCTGGATCTTCATTCATGCAAATTCTGATTAATTTGGCAAGATGCGGAGATATACCTGGTGGTATACTAACACGCAATTCTTCCAACGCTATCTGTAAACATAGTTATATAACTATATATAATGAGACATATATATATAGATGGAAGACAGATAATCGCGTTAGCAATTTCCATTTCGTTTACCTTCATTCCACATTCCATGGGAGAAAGATCAGCAAAAGGCACTTCTCTTGTAGCAAGTTCCCACAAAAGAACAGCAAAGCTCCACATATCGCTAGCTTCTAAATTGATATCGGCAGGTCTTTTGCTAAGGGCTTCCGGAGACATCCAGGCTGGTTCGTATATACGTCCAACCTCTTGGAAAGAAAATTTCGAATCTGCCATATTTACACGAGCAGTTAAATCTTCGTCGATCTACAAACGCATATATGTTTCAATAAAAATGCGCATAATAATATATATATATAGATACAGATATAGATATAATAGGGCAATAGCAGCATATTTATTATGTACCATAATATGTTTACTGTTGAGTTGAAACCTGCATCTATTTTGCCTTTCCAATCCATGAAGAAAAGCCATAGCTCTTGCCACATCAAGGGCTAAGCGAAGTGCTCGTGCAGTATCAACGACAACGCCAGTACCTCCATGTAAGAGCCTATGCAAACTTCCTCTAGCCATGTATTGTGAAACTGTCGCTAATTGTGGCGGTTGATTTACACAACCAAGAACCGGAAGAACATTTGGATGGGAAAATATTCGAAGTTTTGGAAACTCTTCGTTAAAATCTCTGGATATACGTGCTGTACACTCACGTATATTTAAAATTTTGGCTACGATATCATTATTTTGCCAACGTCCTCTCCAAGTGTCTCCGCTTGGAGTACTTGCTAAATGAGTATGCAAAGCAAGATCTGCCATGTTGATACCTTTGTGTCTCGATAAAGTGGCATCTCCTACAAATAATACAAATATATATATATATATATATTATATTTATCTCCTTTTCTCTCTATTCTTCCATTCAAATGAATCAACTTACTGCTCCTAGTTTTTAATCCCAGCCAACTTTGATCTTTAAATTGAATCTTTTTTAAATCTTGTCCATATTCTACTGCCATATCTAAAAGAAATAGTACATTAAATCAAAGCAATAGATTCAATATGACAGATTCATATAGGACAGGTTGATCAATCTTACCATGTAGTCTTTTTGCTAAGTGTCCTCTAGCTTTATCAAGAGGAGTATCACCATCTTTGTTAGCTATAGATACTAAGGCACCAGCAGCTACTAACTCTTCGGCAACAGCTTGATCACCCCAAAAGCATGCGTAATGAAGAGCAGTATTTCCATGTTCATTGGTTACATTTACATCTGCTTTATTTCGCAATAACTGTTGTCAAACAAATGTTTTTTTTTAATGTTTCTGTTACTATGTCCATTGTAAAGATCTTTTTAAGATTAAATATATACATATATCTATTTTTTACCAACTGAACAATTTCCTTATGTCCATGTGCAGATGCAAGATGTAGCGGAGTGTCATCTCCTCTGTTGGTAGCATTAATACGTGCTCCTCTACTAACTAGCAACTCTGCCAATTTCAGATGGCCTTCTTTACAACACCAGTGGAGTGGACTAAATCCGTGGTCATCGCTATACATAGAACAATGAATCATATTTATGGTAATGACAATGCTAATGAAAACAATCTAATTACACACTTTATTATTATAAATAGTAATAATTATATATGACTTAATATGGAGAACTATTAAAAAACACTATATATATATATATATATATATATATATAAAATTTATTTGTACTTAATTATTACGTTAATGAAAATTCAAATGGAAAAGTTGGTGATAAGAAATCTAAACTATATACGGAAACCACAACATTCGTAAGACTTCTCCAAAAAAGGAAATAGCAAATTTATATTTACCCTTGATTCATGTCATGTTCAGTGTCGTCCAACCAAACACGAACTTGCATAGCATTTCCTTCGCGACACCATTGAAATATATCTTCCATTTTATTATCTTTATCAATAAAAATCGAAGAAATTCTATAAATAATATCGTACAGAAGTGGCAATTTTCAATTGTCTTCAAAATTCTTATTCCCTTCACATACTATATAGAATTATGTTTTTCTTATAACATACGTGTAAATTTATGAAGTTTTTAAGTAATTTGTTAAATTTCTTCTTACTTGTTTCTCAACCTATATCAATATATACAAAAATAAATAGGACCAACGTCCAAAGTAAGTAATTAATTAATCTAACACTTGAATCTTCTTCACCACGATCTTCCATGGATCACACTTAACATTTCTCTGAGAACGCACCCATGCGCATTACCCATTTGACCATATATGCTAACTATATATGTATATATAACTTTATTTATAACACACACTCATTCATTATGGAGGGGATTCTTCACTGACAATGAGTTTATCAATTCAAGTCAGTCAAATATCATAAATAAGTAATTAATAAAACATTTTTATTATATTTTTACAAATTCATAAATTAATATATATATATATATATATACCATAGTTAGCTAATGCCACACACACTTTTAATTATTTATATTTATTAGGTTATATTATGTTTACACTATGCTCGGTGATTGGCTAGCATGTCAGTCAGCAAAGTCGAGCCGTGATTCGTTAATCATATCAGACTATGTACACTACCAAATCCTCAGTAAGGTATATACTTCACTCAAATATGGGGTATCGTTAGACCCCCGTGACAATTGAAATACGGTAGAAATTACAGATGGTATAATATCACAACTTTTGCTTGTATTTTTAATATGTAATTGATACACTAACATTGCTCTACAATTCATTATATTATTCATTATATTAGGAGACTCAGCTTGACTTTAAGGAAAAACGCGGGAAACGACTGGGAAAGGTCCCTTACGCGTATCTACTGTTGCATATAGATACGTACGTCCATGGAAACAATCGCCGTCGAGCTATGACGTCAGCATGCGCATGCGCACGAAGGCTCCCACGTGGGAAAAAATCTCACGTCCTGACATCACTGATTCCGTTATCATCTAGCTTTGGATCAAATTGGAATTTTATAATGGAATGTATTTAATACTATTTTCTATTTCCATAATAATATATTGTAGATGTTAATTATTCCTCGATGCTGCTATGGAATTAATAGAGAATTTATTTTTATATATTTTGTTAATAGTTACGTGTATAATCGTCGTGGTACGTTTAGTGGTTATATCCCTCATTTTGACAGTATACATTATTTTTAATGAATAATATAGATGGTTGATGAAATGAAACAAATGACAAATAAATAAAATAACTTAATTTTTACAGATCTATATATTATGTATACTCAGTATTATGAGAAAATGCACATAAATGCACATAAATGCACATAAATGCACTTTTTGGTATATCTTATGATCATATTGTATATTTTTTAGTTCTGTCTAATATTGTATGTAACAACGCAAGCTTATCCAAAAATATGGCGGGATGGAAAAGAAAAGGTTTTCTTCGATCACAAAACAAAGAAATATCAAGATTTTCCTTCATTGCACGATAATTGGAGTGTTAATTTAAGTGTTATTGTACCTGCCTACAACGAGGAGAAAAGATGTAATGACTATATTTTTAATAAGTAAATAATTGAATCGGTTAAAGCTTTGAAAAAAATATCATTTAATTTTCATATCATTTGATTGTTTAGTACCACCAATGTTAGACGAATGTTTAGAATATCTGGAGAAATTAAAACGATGTGGTCATAGTTATGAGGTAATAGTAGTTAGCGATGGAAGTACAGATAAAACTGTAGAAGTTGCTCAATATTATGCTTCCAAATTTGATACCGTGAGAGTATTGGCTCTTGTTAAAAATAGGGGTAAGGGTGGTGCCGTTAGGCTGGTCAGTATTAAGTAGTAGTACCTTTTAGTAAACGTATAATTAAAATATTAATATTACTTGTATCGCAGAATTTTGTATTGATTTTATTTAAAGGGTATGCTGAGCTCCAGAGGTAGCGCATTGTTGTTCGCTGATGCAGACGGTGCTACTTTATTTGCTGACCTAGACAAATTAAATGACAGTTTAAGAAACACGCTAGGATGTAAGTTGAATACATTTAGTTTGAATACATTTCCTATTCGATTGGATTATAGTTCATTTATTCTTAACTATAGCACATGAAAAATAATTAATTGATTATGTAAACATTAACTTGCAGTTGATTATTTATCTGAGCCAGAAAAATTAGCATTGTCGCATGCTGTCATTTGTGGATCGAGAGCTCATTTAGAAAAAGAAGAAACTGCTAAACGTTCCTACTTTCGCCTATTTCTGATGCACGCATTTCATTTTTTAGTTTGGTTTTTGTGCGTAAGAGGTATTAGAGATACACAATGCGGTTTTAAATTACTAACAAGAGAATCTGCGAGAAGCATATTTGAAACTTTACACGTTGAACGTTGGGCATTTGATGTCGAAATGCTTTATATCGCCAAACATTTTAATATTCCTGTTACCGAAGTTGCAGTCAATTGGACAGAAATAGAAGGATCAAAAATAATCCCATTTTGGAGTTGGCTACAAATGGGCAAAGATTTAGTTTTAATTTGGCTAAGGTACAAAATTGGAGCATGGAAAATTCACAATAGTAGTAAGGAGAATTAACAGAAGCCATCCATGCATTTTCAATAGCCTCTAACACGAAACTGAATTCATTGCAATTTTTTCAAATGTACTAATAAAGAGTGATTATTTGTCCTAATGCTATTGTCATCCTATACTACATGTATCATGTACTACTAAACGACGATGACTTTTTTCTACATTTTTATTCAGATGTATTTTATGAAAATTCAAGTAAATAGAGGTTAAGTACGTTAACCGTTAACATAGATTCTTCTCCTTAATAAAAGTTACAAGTAAACTATAAATTAATACAAAGTAAATTATAAATTGCAAATGAAATCATGATTTATGTTGTTTTACAATATTTTTGTCGTAGGAATGTTGTAAGTAACATATATAAGTAAGAACAATCTGATCGGAATGAAGCTCAGCCAATCACAAGAGACGTATACTTTGGTGGAATATCCGCGATTGGGTAATAGTTATGCATGTGATGAGTAAAGAATTGGTGAGTAAAGAATGACGTGGGAAGGAAATAGTTGCAGTGGAAAGCAGTGGAAAGCTTGGTATAGTGTTGACGACGCTAGTTAAAAGAACGTAGACAAACAATTTCATTCGATATTATTCTATGTCATTTGTTTTTATATTTCAGTAGGATATTAAAAGAGTATAGAAGAGTATAAAATCGTTAACAGCATTGCAATTTTAATCGGGTTTTGAATTCTTTGAAAAAGTTTTATCATTATTACTTGAAGTAGTTGCGTGTATTGTCGAAATGTCTTTCACATCGCAGATACCTAACAGAGACTTTTTGTGGGATGTGTTTAGAAGGTAATTATACGTTTATAACTTATTGCTATCTAACTACATATAATATAGTGATAAGTGAATAGCTTAATTATCGAATAATTAACGATTATGCGAACCTATATAGGTTGATTTATTATATTATTATAATGTAAAGATTGTGAAGCATAATCTAGCATAATCTGTAGAGGTAGAATTGGATGTTTTTCTATGCAACAGTTAGGGTTTCTTGGTAGCGCTTAGTAATAATTTCATTTCTAGGGTAGATAAAGATTGTTCTGGTGCAATTACGGCAGATGAATTACAGCAAGCGCTCTCAAATGGTACCTGGACACCTTTTAACCCGGAAACTGTTCGCCTAATGATCGGTAAGCTTAGCAAACGATCTCTACAAACGATCATGCAAGTAGTCCGTAGATCAAAATTTGATCCACACGTACATACACAAGTACATACACACAAGTGTAATGCAATTAGAAAATATTTGGTGTTTTAGTTCACATTTTGCATGATCATTTGTTATAAGAGCGTTCTAGCTTTGAATTTATTCTGTTGACACAGGTATGTTTGACATTGAAAAAACTAGTCCTACTTCTTCAGGTATGTTTGATAAAAATCAAACAGGAACTGTCAGCTTTGAAGAATTCGGAGCACTCTGGAAGTATGTTACCGATTGGCAAAATTGCTTCAGATCGTTTGATCGTGACAATAGCGGTAATATTGATCGTAGTGAATTAAAAACTGCTCTGACACATTTTGGATATCGTTTGTCAGAACATACGATAGATAATCTTATACGTAAATATGACAGAGCTGGTAGAGGAACCATATATTTTGATGATTTTATACAGTGCTGCGTCGTTCTTCATGTAAGAAATCAATCAACGACAAGAAATTGTATTAACGTTTATTTAAGTTTGTATAAAATCATTACAAGTTATTCAAGTTTTTTTTTTTTTTTACAGACATTAACCGCAGCCTTTCGGCAATTAGATACAGACTTGGATGGCGTTATCACTATTCATTACGAACAATTTTTGGGTATGGTATTTAATTTGAAGATTTAAAGTATGCTCAGAAGAAAATATATACCTTGCCGTTCAATGATGATTACAAATATAATATAATACATGTTGCCAAATAAATAATATTCTATTTCTACACGTTTCAAGGGAAAGTAAAACTACTATCTATCGACGTTCTTAGGTTCGTCCAAAGATCAATTATCTGTTTCTATCGATTTCAAATATTCACGGTTTGCCTATACACTTAAGATCGTTATTTTCTTATTCATTTATTATTAATATTACTATAATATTATTATTATTAATTGTTGTACAATATTCCTATTGTAGATCTGTTTCTACATCTTTTTAATATCCATGTTTATGCTTAAATGATAAAATATAGTAAAGTATTATATTTCCATACTTTTTTATTATTTTAAACTATACGCTTGTTTATAAAATTAATCATTAAAAAATATATTTCTTTAAAAATATTTTCTATGATATCAATAATCCTCAAGTATTCCTAAAATTCCTGTTATTTTATTGAAACGAGATTTAAAGTTGCATTAATACCGATTGTCGGTAAATATTATATACGCATTGGTTGTATGCATTCCAAAGATATGTCGATAACGTAGAACGCGATAACGTAGAAGGTAGTAGTTCTCGGTAAACATTGATACCAAGTTTTGATATTTCTTTTAAAAATAATCTCCTATCATAGTTTTTCAGTAAAATTTCCTTCACATTAACGCTTTTTTTATAGTATGTAATACGAATTGTAGATTTGCCGCCAAAATTATCCTACAATAAGAGAATGTTTGTATTTGTTTTATATAATTGATCGCAAGAGGGCACTGCAAGTTTGTAACTTCCCATAAAAATATTGGGCATAATTAACGAAAGAGAATATGGATAAGTTTAGTTAAATGCAGTAAGTAAGTAAGTTGTTAAATGTTTTTGTAAAAAAAAATAAGTGATAATAAGTGTCATGAAAATAATCATACGTGATCAAAGAAAAATAAATATTTTGTTTCTATATATAGATATAATAGATTTCCTTTGAGTATCGAGATTTAATTGATTTTGGTTTTAAAGAAATTATTTATACTTAACAATTGAATATTTCTTGTAACGGTTATGAAATAATACGAGAATATTTGTGTTTTAGTTCTTATGCTATTTTATGTTGCAAAATTAACATTGTTCTATTCATATATTTTCTATTAAAATTCTATTAATGTTTTAATTTGTTAATAGTAGCCAAATTACATATGTAGATATAAATTATGCCTTAGTTATCGGATAACTTTGCAACCAGATCAAATAATTGATAAATGAATTTTTGGATCTTCTAATCGATCGATCGATCGATCGATTAGAGTTTTTTAGTTGGAAGTAAAATTTTAATTGGCTCTATAGATGGCAAAGTATGTTGAATAACTAACTGGTATGAAGTTTGAAACGTAAGGAAGGTCCGATAGAAAGGAGGTGGTAAGCTATATATATATATACGTAGCTCATGTGTAGCCGCACGTGAGTCGGGGAGGGTGATGGAAGCCACGAGTACCGCGGTAGACTCTGGAAAAAGAAAGGTAAGAGAACTTTGCGTGTCTTGTTTCTTAAGGGAGTAGATAGCGATGACTGGCAAGGAGAGAGGAGCGGAGCGGAGCGGAGCGAAGCGGTCTGCAAGAAGAATCTTCCCTTCCGTGGCGAAGGGTAGGAAAGGTTGCTCGGTGGTCCGAACCACCACGCGGGAAGCTGCAGGAGGGTGAATG